AATTCTACAATCTAGATCTATAAAACAGAGTACGAGTTACGGGGGGAAGGGGGGGGGACACGTCATCCTTTTACATCTTCCCATAGTTTCCAATTGTGTTAACTAACAATTAAAGGTCAACTTGTAGTGATCAATTCTCTCCCATACAAGCTATGGTTAGAGATAATATAAACAATAGAACGACAACATCAGCTTAACAGCTTAATTAACGTTGAAGGACCCAATACATGAGACAGAGTGCTGGAGACCGTTGGGTAGACTAATTCACAGTGATCACTTCATCACCCCGTATGTGTTATATTGAACAACATACCGAGCAAACAATGTCCCAGATCTATAAAACAGAGTACGAGTTACGGGAGGAGGTGACGCCATCCTTCTACATTTTGCTTATACAGTTATACACTTGCCTTCGAGATAGTAGTTGACCAACAAACTAGGACTAGTGTCCCAACTTTTGAGGGTGTCCCAGCCCTAAATTACCTCAACATGCCCAAAATCCCAGAATTTAAGCGCTTTAAGAGGTTTCCTGAACTTGTATACAAAAAACCATATATCCATATTTGGGCATACGCACCAAATTTGATAGATTTCAACCCATAAATTGGTCAAATATCAACATTTCTATGAAAGGTAAGCCTAAACTACATATTATCTGTGAACTTATATAGCTCAATATCTATTAAAATGTGGATTGTGGAAACTAGTTTGTGGTCAACTACAATCCGAAAACAAGTTTCACAACAAATTTAGGGTTAATCCCCTTAAGTTGTAGAATATTGCTCAGTACATTGTTCAATATAACACATACGGCCGTATTGGGTCTCGTGATATAGTGGATACAGTAGCCACGGCCCACGTGATAGTTAATGTACAAAGTTTGCGATTGTAATAAACAGACATCTTTCCAAGACGTGCTGATCATGGAGCAACGGTGTTATGATCATCAATCACATTTCTTTCTATCCAAAACATTATGTTTCTTTTATTAGTGGTTGTGAGTCCCTGCATCTTGCAGCAGCAAGAGGTAATATTTCATTTTTACAATATACTCCACCTGAGGATTTCCTCTACAAAAGTGTCTCTTTCTAGACAAATCTTTGTTCAAAAAACTGATTTGGACAACTTTCCTAAACATTGGTCACAAATCGAGCAATGAAAGACAGCATGTCACGAAGAAGTCAAGAAGAGTCTGGTCCAAATTAGGCCCAATTTAGCCAAATACCCGGAACATGCCCAAAACCCAGGTTTATGGCTCTACTTGTAGCTAGTTGTCTCCTGAACTCGTATATAAAATTTCGTCAAGATTGGACACAAATGATTGAGTTATGAGCCAAAAACCATATGCCCATATTTGGGCATACGCACCAAATTTGGTAGATTTCGTCCCATAAATTAGTCAAGTATCAATATTTGACCAAATTATAGCCTAAACTACATATTCTCTGTAAGTTATAGCTTTATATCTGTTTACATGTGGATACTAAGGCGAAAATACCCCAAAAAATGAACAAAATTGGGAAAATTGCCCGTATCTTCGTTCGCGATATTCGCGGAATTGATTTCATCAATTTGGAAATAACTCAATCAGTTTTAAAAATGTTTGCATGAAATTTTCGGAATCGACTCTAAATTGCAATTCGACCTTATTCTAGGAGGCCGATTTTTAATTTAGGCCTCCAAAACAATTTGGCGGCCAAATTCCAAAATTTGCACGGCAAAATTCAGAATTTGGCAAAATTCAGAATTTGGCTACCTTTCATAAAGTTAGTCAATTTTCCTTTATTGTTTTACAAGTTTTAAAACTTTAGCATTGGTATTAATTTGAAATTATTAAAATATAACTATGGTTTATACACGTACACATGATCTCTTACTTATTAAATTGCTCGACTGTTAAGCTAGTTGTCTCATCTCTCACTTTTCCTTGCAAAGAGAAACTTTTAATCTTGCAAAGAGAAACTTTTAAACTCTTTTAATAGTTTTGTGGTCTCGTGATCTACGTTGTTTGAGGTTTTATGTAGTGAAAGTGGTTTCACTGAAACCAATCTCGACATCGGGATTCCCGAATCCCGGGATTTCCCGACGATTTAACAATAACGGGTCGATTTTGAGTGACCAATAATCGTCGTGATGATACGTCATGTGTTCCTGATCATCATAAGCAATCAAGATACAGGATCGAGCGGCAAAGTCAAAAATAAATCGTGGCACGTGCAGAATCGCGAGTTTTCCCATTCCCTGCGACAAATCGCGATTTTTGACGTTTGCCGAGACAAACAGATCTTCGCGACAAATTGCGATTATCCTAGTTCTCTGAGGACAAAATTTGCGCATTCTCCTTTAAATCCGAGGGCCAAATATCACGTTCTTTATAATTATATGGAACTAATCACATCCACAGCCTTGCGAATGTAGGTACGGACCGAAAAAGTATTTTCGGCTCCTAATGCTCAGGGAAGCATGAAACAAGAAGAAAAGTAGTTTCCAGAAAAACTTTGAAAATAATTTCGATTTAGAAAATTTTCGGTCCGAGTCATTCTCGATAGGTACAAGGAAAGTGCTTCAATATGAAGTTACTCTCCTTGTTTCTATATAAACATAACTTTTATAATAATTCTTACGTAATAATTATAATAATTTTCTATTATTAGAAGCCGCACAGACCTACTATCTACATTCTACACACAAACCAACTAGTAATTTTCATTACCCTATTCGTGTAACAACATCACGAAGAAGTCAAAAAGACTTGCTCAGGGAAGCATGAAACAATAAGAAAAGTAGTTTCCAGAAAAACTTTGAAAATATTGAGGCACTTTCCTTGTACCTATCGAGAATGACTCGAGTCATTCTCGATAGGTACAAGGAAAGTGCCTCAATATGTAAGTTACTAGAGGGTTACACGAGACGTGGTAGTCTGTGAGCGTGTAAACCGCTCCTCTATCGTTGTTTTCAGTGTCCGATCCAAAACCAAATCCTGGGGTTACACGTCATGTGGATTGTGGGGGCCTGTGAGCGTGTTAGTTTCCTGTGGAAGGTGTTATTTGCCTGTGGGAAAAGCGCGAGCGGTTATGCTGCGGTTCTAAGGTTTGTATAGGCTATTATATAGCCTTTCCTTGTTGTAGAGATGGCTAGTCCCTTCCTTTGCATAGGTTAGAAACACCCATACACCTCCTGTTCGAGCCACCCACCCCACACCGCGTGGAGGTTCGGTGAGGTTTTTCGTCGGGCTAAAAAACAACGTACTATATAAAGCATAAGTTTCCTGGTGATTAGTCCATTTCTTTGATAAATTGATTCTACATATTTTCATGATCTAATAATCGAGCAAGGTACATGTCTCCTGAATTCTTGAATGATGTTGCAAATCTTTTCCTATATCGAAAAACGCAAGGCAAATCACATACGACCTTTTGATTGTGGAACTGAAATTCGATTAAAAGTTCCTTGAGGTCCTTGCACCTAGCTTATCTTAATATTGCTTCTCCAACACTCCTAGCTTCTCAATACTCCTTCCGAGGAACAAGTGGAACGAACAATCTAACGATAGATTGCAAATCTAATTAATATTAGATTTGAATGATGTTCCAAATATTTTCCTATATCGAAAAACGCGTACCTTCGCTGTGACGCAAGGCAAATTTCATAATGATTAACTGCATTAAGGAAGTTATAAATTTCACCTACAACAGAAATCAGGATACTCTGCCCTCACACCACTTAAGCACTTAAGGGTTAGACTGGTTCTTGCTAGTATATTTAAACAAAATTTTATCGTACTCTCTTATTCATTCTGTTGCCAACTAGGGGGCCAGCTAGATCAGATATCCAGTATGTTCACTGATCCAGCTAACTTTTATCCAATCCGGTCTGGTTTCATTTCCAATATTCGCCGAACCTGGCTCAGTATTTGTCGTTAGCGAGCGCTAGCCGGCGTTAGCGAGCACTTTTGTCAGTAGGAGCTATTATTGGCATCGAACGGTTTTAAGGCAATAATTCGCCAACTTTGACACACTCAGAATACGATACCTCTTTTCTACTGTGAGGTGTCCTCAAAACCCTTCCAACTCATTATTTGATGGTTCTTTTACCAATCTTAGCCATAAAATATGTTATTTCGAAAAGTAAGCTAATACAGGCACTTGGTTATTGGGAAATGAGGTAAATTATGTCACATTATATGAAATTTTCAATTTTGGGCGAATTGCCGGAATCATTTATATCTAATTTTGGTTTGAAAGGCGGAAAAACTCTATATAAGCAAGATACACTGATACAGTTGATTTAAGTTAAGGGTAGTCAGTGGCGAAACGTTGCTTGTTGGCGCCCCCCCCCCCCCCCCCCCCGCTGAAAAAGCGCCCCCCTGTTGGCGCCCCCTGTCCTTTTGTTGCCCTTGCCAAAAATTGAACAAATTAGATGATTTTAGAGGATACGACAGTAAAATCTTTATAAAAGGGTGTTTCCAGTTTTGCTAGTACCGTAGCTAAGTTTTCGAAATTGTCCCACATTCAAAAGACGATTTGGCACCACCCTAAGGTTGCGCCCCCCCCCCCCGCACAGCAGGGTCGGCGGGGAACTTCGTTACGCCACGGACCACCGGCCGATTAAAAAATCTCACTAATTTGGCTTCGTCAGATTGTTGTTTGATTAAGCTGTTCGGAAATTACCCACAGACAGACAGACACACACACACATATCGAGATTATTAGTATTGATTATGTAACGTGATGGAAATATTTAAAGCGGTTAATAACATTTATAATGCTAAATAACATTTGTATTGCAAGGCACCAATAGCATCATAACTTTATTTACCAAATTTTAGTAGTAGTACGGACTAAAATGTTATCATCAAGATTTCTAGTAATTTACATCTAGGATGACTGGTATTATTTATAAAATTTGTTAAATATTTCTTGAGACATGATCAGTTTACCCTCGTCTCCCACTTCGAATTTTGTTTAATATACTTTTACGATATTCCAATTCCCAGAATGAAAATGTCTCTGAATATCGTTGTGGTCACTCATGCTTTGGCGCTTTTGGCGATCAGTGTAGCTTCTGGAAAAGGTAGGAAATTATTCAAATAATGCATGTCGATTTGAACTTTGATAATCGACGCATGTCAAAAGATACTGGTTTAGAGCCCCACATGATACGTCTGCTCATGAGTGATAGAAATAAATGGAGACATGCGTTGACACGAAACTCGTTCCAGATTTAGTCTTAGACATGTGGTCCGACCTAGACAGTAGGTCGCTGAAATTGGTTAATGCCCAACAAAGCTCCACCTACAAGACTGGATATGCAAGAAAAGCGATCGACGGTAACACTAGTGGGTGGTATTCTACAGATAAGTACGTTAAGTCTGTTTAATCACATTATGTTCTAAATGAGCGATGGAAAGCAAGTCAGTCAAATTATGGTGGATTGAACTTATTAATGTTTACTTGGCGGCGCTCAGCCTGTCATTCCGCCGAATCTCTATTCTCTATATTATGTTTATGAATATTATAGCCTGGCTCCCCCCGACGTATATATATATATCGTACATTGTCAGTTCCTGCACACACACCGGATTGCAAGTAAAACCCTCTTGGCAAGCTGATTTTGCTGAGTATAGGCAGGCTGCAGTGCACAAGGTCATTGTTTCCAACAGGGTGGACTGCTGTTCAGATAGGCTCTCCCACGTTAAGGTTAGTCGGCTATCGATTATTAACCCATAAAAATACAGGGTGGGCCAAAAGTCAGTAGGCATACGTTGGCCTCAATAGCTCAGTCACTGATTGCCCAATTGAAATAATTCTTTCTGGTATGACTTACTACCACCACTGGTTCGAGGATTTTGTCAAATCGAAAAATATTCGAGATAATGAAGGTTCATTTTTTGTGATTAGGTGAAACCGTTAACCACCCCGTTAAACATTATGGGAATTGTTAAGGGTGCCCAATTAAGGTGTCGTGTCACGGTGTCACATAATCACCCAGTCAATTTTGTTAACGAGATACAGAAAATGCTTGATAACTTCGTCAATTCTTATCTGTTTTGCCTCATCTTTTCAGATCATATGCAACATTTAATATTCTACCGTCTCTGAAAACATTAGGCGTTCAGCATGTTCAGACAAAACAGTATAGGTGTTTTAATATTAAATGGGCGTGGTCTAAAATATTCGAATTTTCAAATTTTGACGACGGAATCCTTGAACCAGTAAGTACAGTATGCCATCTACAAAGCAATAGCTCTCAAATATAAAACATGGCGGAGCTTATATTAAGGCCAACGCATATGCCCACTGACTTTTGACCCACCCTGTGGCTGTAGTATTCCTAAAATGAAACAATCAGACAAAACAATTAATAATTTAAAGTTGTTCAGAATTCAGATGTTAAACATATCGACAGTGCAGCTTTCATGATACATTTTTCCTCGCGTCATGATGAGTGAACGTCGAATTATTTTTATTAGTTATGTGCCTAAAGTAGTGCTAAAAGTTGTCTCCTAATTTGTAAAACTCCAAGCATTTTTAATTTCTCAATTCCACCTATTTTAATGTTGAATTTCATCTTAAACCTGTTTCTGTAAAGGTGTACGTGGATGACCATCTATGTGGTACATTGCATTATCGTGGAGGAACAAGTCAGTACCCAGTTGATTGTGGGGGTGCCGTTGGAAGTCGTATCAATATAGTAGGGAAAGATAACGTATATTTGACCCTCTGTGAGGTTCGGGCTTTTGGAGTGGTTGAAACAAGAACAAGTTAGTCACCTTTTATCATTATGTTTAGTATCTTAATTAAAATGCATCCCAACTTATCTTTAGTACAGATAAAGGCCCGGGATAACATAATTTATAATTTTAAAAAGTTTATCTTTTGTTTTAAATAAACCGATACCATGATCCTGAATTTTTTTTTGACCGGTATCATTTCTTAAGCCGATGGTGTCGTATAAGAACTTTGAAAGCTTTTAGCTTCGATGGATATTATTTTTCTATCAAACACATGTATCACGTGCTCTGCTCATTATTCGTTATATCATAAACCTGGGGAACTGTAACAAATTTAACACTGAACGTACTCAACTTAACCACAGCACTCGCACAACGGGGACCGTTACTGATTCAATTAAGTGACGAGAACTTTACTTATATCATATCTACTTCTACTTCTAGTTCACTCACTTTATTTTCTGCGCATGTCAAACTTTATATTTTCTGCGTATGTCAAAACGTTATTAATCATTTACCGAACATAGATATTTTTATTTGTTTATAAGACTTTTATTTTAGATTGGAGAAATGACAATCGATGTGGAAAGAATCATCGGCTTCCTGACGGTGCTGTATCTATTTGCAATCCTAACCTCGGCGAATGGATGAAATGTTCACAACATGGTTATTGCTATGACCATGGAAGTAAGTCTTCACTTAGTAACTCTTCCCTGGTCGATTGAATGGTTGGTTGAGTAGTTATAGTGGAATACCACGAATTTTCAACCAACTTTTCAATCAACCGATGAAGACACATGTTTGTTAATTAACCATACATTTGATTGGTTACCTTTCAAAAGTTACTCCCCTGTTCGATTACGCTCCCTTAAAAGTTTTGGTCGCAAGAAGAAAATTTTACTTGACATTGTGTTATGCTACCATTCATGTGGCATGTTCATTTAAACATTGAATTTTGCAGTTATTTTCATTAAATTTAAAGTTTTATCAACATGCCTTCACCTCAGAATAGAATTTGAGACCATACAGTCGACTAAAAAAACAGCAAACGGTTGTAAACGAATTTGAAGCAGGATTTGGACAATTACCAGGCGTAACATATAACTATATAAAGATATAAGTGCGATGGGTGCGGAATCGCACTATTGACCTATATTCATTTTTTTGCATCTTTTTTCAGGACGTAACATAAGAAATATTATAAAGTAGAATTAATTTTTTTAAATCAGGAAAACATTATAAAATAATTTTTCTCGCCCCAGTCATCTTACCCGTGTAATTGTGAAACATTCTATGAGGGTATCACTACCTATAATCATTATTATTAATTATTATAATTATTAATTATAATTAATTCTAGTTTATTTATTGTCAGGAAGCTCAGTTTATATATTTACGTAACACATTTTCGCATAAAAGTTTTAGGCAAGCGCAGAATTAAGAAACTATTTACAAAACATTAGTGCATTTATCCTTACAGTTGCATTTATCCTTACAGTTACTATATCATTTACTCTTACTATAGGTCTATACAGTCTTACATATTGCCTTTAACAATTGCTTGTCAAGAGAACGCTAGATCTGGACATTTGTAGGAAGGTCAACTTGTTTGATGACAGTGATTCTGAGTTTCTGCATTTATCAACATGGAAGCTAATGTTTAGATAATCGCTCTCATCTGTCAAAAAAACATGGATATCATCCTATCAGTGCCTAGATCTGTACAATACATTAAAACAGTGCCTAGATCTGTACAATACATTAAAACATTTTAAAATGTAGTCTTATATAATTTAGTGTGGCTTTAAAATCGTGTAACATTTACATTTTTCCTTTTAGACTAATAATTTCTAAAAACTCGTTTCACTCGTGTTCCATCATTTATAATTCATGTAAATTTAAAGCTTATCGGAAAAAATGGGCAATGTTAGCCAAATCTTTTAGATTCAGAAAATAACATAATGGTACCTCCGAGTCTAATGTTATTATAGACACGAGCTATAAAAAGAAACATTTCCAGGATCTAGAAATAATGGGTTAAACCCATCACTTGTAATGGTTCACCTTACTTCAAACTTAACCATGTGCTTTCGCGGGAGGCGGGCGCACGCCACTGCAAGCGCAAGGGCTCTATCAAAGGTTATCGTATCGCGTCCCGGTTACTCATTCTCTGTTCTATAATAGTTATAGATTCTATTAACCACGGATATCATCCCTTGGACCAAATCGAGAAAAAAAAGCTAATGACAATGTTCAAATCATAATGTTTTAGTTGTCCTAGAAAAAGGCAAATTTAAGTTTTAGTAGATGTACTAAAAGAGGTAATAAGGTAGGAGGTGCACGATAAAAATAAACTTGCTCAGATTTTCAAAATTTTGTGCCATTTTTTCTAGTGTTAGCCTTTTCACAGTACCAAATTTGTCATACCTTTTTGGAATGATCACAGTTGATGGCGCAGTGCGCACTACCTGACTACTTGGTACCAGTAGAGGTTGTTAAGCTTAGGGGGATTATCCGCTCGACACATTATATTTATAATCATATAACTCATTTTTAAAAGATATTTTATTGACTGTTGACATTGAATAGAATAACCTTGGTCTCAAGTGATTGAGAGTCAATTGTCAGGGTCAAATTTGCTGCTAAAAAGGCTTAACTAAGTAAATAAGTACCTACCTTATAGACTTGCTTGAAATTTTGAATTTTAAATTTTAACATGACAATATGTTTTCATTTTTTAAATATGACATTTTTCGAACACACATTTTACAGATTAGATGGATATTTTAATCAGAGACCGATTAGTCAGTTAATTGATGATGATATGAAACCAATTTGAGGTACTGGAAGTCAAAAACCCCAAAATACTTGTAACATCATATTGTCCCAAATTCTGTCCCATTTTCAGTTTTTGAAGATGAAATTTAATTTCCAGGACCGAAATTTTACATTTTTGACTGAATTTCTCACCCGAAACCAATTTGAATTAGTCAGTCAACTATAAATGGCAAATGATAAGATCGAGGTGGTGCTGGAAGTTTGATTTCGGTAGAAAGAAGCTCATTGCAGAAATCTTAACAAAACGAAAATTCATATTTTCCAAATTCTGTGCCATTTTAATGTTGTCATCAATCATTCTTAGAAACACAATTTTAACAATTTATTAGTGCAACTTTAAATAAAACAGGTTGAAGAAAAAAAACAATGCCTTACACTGCTAACAAATCGTTTTTCTAACTTACAATGGAATTTCGAAATTACTAAAAGTAATGATTAATTCTATCTTAATACAGATTTTAAAAAATTAAATACTTTTCAAATTTTACAGAGTACAGCAATAAATGAATATAACATAGAATCGTTCAAAATATCGCCCCCATCTGTAAAATATGATGGGCACCCAAACACGGTAAACACATAGTGAACTATGTCCGCAATTACTTGGACCCAATACATCGAATTAATCTAAATCCAAAAATTTATGAAAACTATTTAATAACAAACAAATCCATGGTGAATAACTGTGGATGGATCAGAACTGACCGTCGTGAGTGTCAAGTGAAACTGGAGGTATTGACTGAGTAGTCGTAAGATCAAAAGACTCCTCGTCCATTTGCATTTCCTTGACTAAACCAGGACTCAAATCAAAAGTGGCTTTGACTACATCTCCGGTTCCCTGAAAATTAATGTAAGATGCATTAATTTAAGTGATGTATTTATTATCAACGTCATTAGAACTTTAGAATTCAGGTGTAACTCTAATGATCATAGTTTGCTTTTATGGTCCGTAGCACCAGACGACGTTTAAATTCACAGAGAGAATCGTAATCAGTTTTACTTTTTCAATGGAATGAAGTAGTAGAAGTATCCCCCAAAACATCGAACAAAATCCAAACGAAATAAAATTGGAGTTTTCATGTGAAATCCCGGCTACTCCAGCAGTCAATCCACACAGAAATAAGAAAACAGGGAATAAATTAAGCCAAACATCATGCTTTTTGTGTAAAGAAGTTGTCTGTTCAGTCTTTTGGTCAGCCTGAAGAATAATCATGTACTGTTTCATGAACTGCTGTTACAGGAATTATAATTGCTGCAACTGCAAAAGAAATGTGCTAGGAACTGAAAAAAAAAACAACAGAAAACTACGAAAACAAAATGCATGCCATTCATTTAATAAGATCATGGCTTTTAATTATACAATTGTTTAAAAAACAAAATCAGAAGCTGATCAAATAGTTAATTATTTTGGCAGCTTACCAGTTTTCTCCCAGTTCTTCCCTTAGGGGAAGCGTAAAGTTCTAAACCAAATACCATTAGTCCAATAATGAACAAGGGGATCGAGATAATTAAGATACCTGAAAAAATTGTTACGTGAATTGGGAACACTTTACAAATAAAAGGATTGAATTTGTCATTGTAGTGTGTGTCACAGTAGTGTATGTCACAGTAGTAGTGTCACAGTAGTAGTGTCACAGTAGTAGTGTCACAGTAGTAGTGTCACAGTAGTAGTGTCACAGTGAGGGTCACAAATACGATATTTGTGGTACAAGTAGCCCCTAGAAAGCTAGAAACAGTACCTAGTAAGGAAACAACCTCCAAACTATCAGCCTCAGCATCAAACTCACTGTCTTCGTCACATGATCCTGTGATATATCTTTAAAGTTGACTTAACTATAATATGTGATATATTTAAATTAGGCTTTAAAGATATTATACATTTTTCATGAATTGTGTTTTTGAAGTTTAAATACAATGTTAATGCTTTGATGTAAAGGTTAATTATTAACTAGAGAAAATTATTTAAACTGATTAAACGGATTTTCTTTGATTTGGGATTTGTCATACGTTATGACGTATGACAGTGTTTGTAGCGGTTTTTCTCTTTCAAATATTTGACCTAGCTAGGCCCAGGCTAGAGACCAAGCTTGCATGTTGCCGTGCTTTTCATAAGGTTACCTTGACCGGCGTGATAATGCGCCTTCTAAATGATCTCTTATTACTTTAAATAATCATTGTCTGTTTTTTTTTTTGTTTTTTTTTTGTCGATGGGCGCTCACTCTACCTCCCCGGGTTTGCGGGGAGGCTACGTCCGCCTTGTGGCTAACGTCTCTTGGAGCTCCTTTGGTTGCGGAGGTGTACCGAAAGCTCGGCTGGGATGGGGACTCGCTGAGCAGGCACGAACCAAATGGACATAACATTGCTGTTATGACCCGGTGGAACGGCGATACCCCTAAAAGTATCTGCCATATGTTCCGTCATCGGGGGACTTTCTGTCATTGTCTGTGCTCGAACTAGCTTTTTATCTTTAATTAAAACAAATTCTTCATAATATCATGGAGCCTGCATAGTGTGGACATGATAAATATTCACCTTGTAACAAGAATCGTATGTCATCCTGATAGTGATACTATCAAAATGACATACAATTCCTATTTGATATTGAATGCAAAGCACATCATAATACCTTCAACAAAGTAGTTCCACAGATCCTTAATGACACCCTTTTCCTGCATTACCAGCATCTCCCTGTTGAATGATTCCAAGTAGGGAGAATCTATCTGGAAAGCGAATGCATATCCAAAATGCACTAACACCTGAAGGGGGTATTTGAAACAAACTAATTACAACACTACAAATCTATTATATTTATTGAGAAATATGTAATGTAACGTGATGGAAATATTTTAAACAGGCATATCCTGTCCAAGCCCAGGATGGACTACATGAAGAGTTCGTTGTAACTTAATGTTTGAAAAGCATTAATATAAAGATATAAAGATATGAATCATACAAAAGGTTTGATTAGCAGGACTCAGGAGTCAGAGCTTTCAAAATACATGTGTCGTCTAGAGCTGGGAATAATGGGGCGAAGAATTATAAAGCGAAGGAGGTGGAAAAGTTTAATATTTTATACAGTACCTCTCCTATAAGCTGGATATCACAGAACTCCGTGGATGAGGTGTACTCTAGTGGTCCAGCACCGTACATGAATATGTATTTGTTCTCTCGCATTCGCCTCACTGCATCTGTGAACGAGTCACTTTGGTTGGTCCGCTTGAAGACACTTTGCATCAGAGGGCTCTGTGTGATAAATAGTAATTTTAATGATGCATCTGTGATTATTGGAATCTCATTGAAAAGCCTCGTCTACGATCGTTTATGTAAGTGATTAATTTTCGATTACATTACTTTTTGCATATTATGATGCAGTGAAACTATCGGACTGCGATGAATATGTGTTATTTTTAAATTTTGATTTTAATATATAACTGAGATGATAGACGGAGATGATCACTGATAGCATTGCTTTTCTACCACTACTAGTACGCATATAAAGCTTTCAAGTTCATTTAAATATCGAATTGAACTGTTTCACCCTCATTTTTATTGTAATAAATGGCATAAAATTGAAATATTTGTTTGGCTGAAATGTTGTCTGACTGAAATGTTGTCTGACTGAAATGTTGTCTGACTGAAATGTTGTCTGATTGAAATTTTGTCTGACTGAAATTTTGTCTGACTGAAATGTTGTCTGACTGAAATGTTGTCTGACTGAAATGTTGTCTGACTGAAATTTTGTCTGACTGAAATTTTGTTTGGCTGAAATGTTGTTTGACTGAAATGTTGTTTGACTGAAATTTTGTCTGACTGAAATGTTGTTTGACTGAAATGTTGTTTGACTGAAATGTTGTTTGACTGAAATATTGTCTGACTGAAATGTTGTTTGACTGAAATTTTGTTTGACTGAAATGTTGTTTGACTGAAATGTTGTTTGACTGAAATGTTGTTTGACTGAAATGTTGTTTGACTGAAATGTTGTTTGACTGAAATGTTGTTTGACTGGAATTTTGTTTGACTGAAATTTTTTTGACTGAAATGTTGTTTGACTGAAATGTTGTTTGACTGAAATGTTGTTTGACTGAAATGTTGTTTGACTAAAATGTTGTTTGACTGAAATGTTGTTTGACTGAAATGTTGTTTGACTGAAATTTTGTTTGACTGAAATGTTGTTTGACTGAAATTTTGTTTGACTGAAATGTTGTTTGACTGAAATGTTGTTTGACTGAAATATTGTTTGACTGAAATGTTGTTTGACTGAAATGTTGTTTGACTGAAATGTTGTTTGACTGAAATTTTGTTTGACTGAAATATTGTTTGACTGAAATGTTGTTTGACTGAAATGTTGTTTGACTGAAATGTTGTTTGACTGAAATGTTGTTTGACTGAAATGTTGTCTGACTGAAATGTTGTTTGACTGAAATGTTGTTTGACTGAAATGTTGTTTGACTGAAATTTTGTTTGACTGAAATGTTGTTTGACTGAAATTTTGTTTGACTGAAATGTTGTTTGACTGAAATGTTGTTTGACTGAAATTTTGTTTGACTGAAATGTTGTTTGACTGAAATTTTGTTTGACTGAAATGTTGTTTGACTGAAATGTTGTTTGACTGAAATATTGTTTGACTGAAATGTTGTTTGACTGAAATGTTGTTTGACTGAAATGTTGTTTGACTGAAATTTTGTTTGACTGAAATATTGTTTGACTGAAATGTTGTTTGACTGAAATGTTGTTTGACTGAAATGTTGTTTGACTGAAATGTTGTTTGACTGAAATGTTGTCTGACTGAAATGTTGTTTGACTGAAATGTTGTTTGACTGAAATGTTGTTTGACTGAAATTTTGTTTGACTGAAATGTTGTTTGACTGAAATTTTGTTTGACTGAAATGTTGTTTGACTGAAATTTTGTTTGACTGAAATGTTGTTTGACTGAAATGTTGTTTGACTGAAATGTTGTTTGACTGAAATTTTGTTTGACTGAAATTTTGTTTGACTGAAATGTTGTTTGACTGAAATGTTGTTTGACTGAAATGTTGTTTGACTGAAATGTTGTTTGACTGAAATGTTGGCTCACATCACTATGTCGGAGGAGGTTTTCTGTGACAGTCCCTTCCACAGTTCCGAACAAGTACTCCTTCTGGCTCAGCAGATCCTCCACTCCGTTTATATCAACACTCATCCTGGATACTTACACAACAGTTATTTGGTGGATTCTTGCAGTGTTATTGAGTCTCATGATTTATTTCCATTCGAATCTGTCTTCACTGAGTTTATTCAGAAACAATCAGAAATTTGAATGAAAGAAACAACAGTTATTCTTTTAGAAAAATTTCTGATTTTTTTATGAATAGACTCAGCGATGACAATTTTCTAATGAAGGTAAATAAATAAATCACGTATCGAAATTTCTACGTTATATTCAAGACAGTATCAATTTACACTTTGTTAAGACGTTTTCGTTATTATTATAAAACATTTGGCATAAAATTGATAACTTGTTTTTACTTATAACTTTGTTTTACTGGTAACATTGTTTTACTGGTAACTTTGTTTTATCTTAGTCAAGCACTTTGTCGGAAGAGGACCTCACAGATCAGTATTTAGTTAATTAAAAAGTTTTCCCTAAGCAAGGAAGATCATAATTGTATTTTAGGTGTTACATTTTATTTTAGTATGTAAATTTTTATGTTTGCATATCGAAATGTTTACTAGAGTGTTGAAATATACATGGTAAAGACTGTGTTTGATAAACTAACCTGTAAGAAAGGCTGCCAAGTTAGCAGTGTACATACTAACGAGAACCAAGCAGATGACCCACCAAACACTGATAACTATACGACCGGACCTGAGCATCGAGTAATTATATATATGGTGAGTTGAAAATAATATGTGGATTATGGCTCTAATTTATGAAATAAATTAATAAAAAATCACTCCATTTTTGCATATTTAGGTCAGATCACCCGACCTGAGTAATATTTCAAAATTTACTCCTGCATAAAAATTTGTATCGTCCTGTTTCAAAATACGTCTCTTAAAAGGATTGTTAGATTGTGTAATTGACGTATTTCTCCTCTTATTGCTTACGTACTCACTATCAGTCAGCAGTCAATTTGTAGTATGGCTGGCATGAAAAATTACCTTAAATTGCCTTTCTCTTTAATTTTTCCAATATTAAAGTATAAAATTGGCAATTCCGTTTTACTGACCAGTTTTTGGGAACCCCGTCTGCGGGTGCGTATGTCAGGAAGGAACACACTGATAACCAGAACGCATTAGGCAGACTCATTATCCCTGAAGTGATACTGAAGTTGGAAACGCAAATTGCGCTTTCAAAAAGTGACTCTCAAATTTTACATTTACTTTTCCTTAAAAAATGTGTGCAAACAAAGTCGATACTGGAGTTTTGAAATTTTGTTAATTTTAACAGTTTGTTACCCATTCGATGTTTGAGGTCATGGTCTTCGTTGAACGGGCAAAGATGGTCTCTGAACCCCCCTCTCTTCATGAGTTTGGTACATTCCTCACATTTACACAGTTTACATTTAAACCTAACCCCTCCAGCATGCCCGTAGGGGCTGTACCTGTCCAGGAAGTAGATGGCAAGAAAGAAAACTATCATCCCAATCAATATCGCAGCCCTGAAAATTTCAATTGAAGTATTCTGAGGAAGGCATATTATATTAGTACTGGTTTTAATTCTGTAAGTCTATTGATACAATACTTGAAACTTTAAGAGATCAAATTTTCTCAAATTAGCTTTAAGTGAAATAACATTAAACATACCAAACACCACTGGAGAACGGTCTGAGAAAGAAGAAGTACTCTTTAGATGCAGCATCCTTCTGGGTGGCCATTCTTACTCCTCCGGGAAGGAAAGATATCCCAAAATCAACTACCCTCTCACGACCGTGAGATGTGCCGAACCCTACCACACCTATGTCTATGTTCTGAAATCAACCAATCTGAACACAGTATTCACATGGCACGTGACACAAACCAACCAATCAGAACACAGTCTGGTTATTATTTAGTCATTATCTGGTAATTAATTAAATTACTTATTATTTGGTAATTAATTACTAATTATCCGGTAATTATCTGGTAATTATAATCCCCCTTTTCTTACCTGCTGATAAACCTGGTTGATCAGGCCATTCCATACTCCATTCACTTCACTTCCGAACTTCCCATCTGGTGACTCAACGAACTCATACTCAAACTTCAGCCTCTTTTGGAGGCGTTTTATTATTTCTATACTCACTCCAGTGTAACACCAATTTCTGTTTGGCATATCTGCAAAATAATGAAATGATATCTGATGTAAATCGATAAAAATAACTTTAACAGTTTAACTTACAATTACCGGATATAAGGTTAGTAGGTGTATAGCAGGTGAATTAAGAACCGTTTTATATCTTACCGAACTTTATTCAAACGGACATTAATTGAACGCTGGAGGCCCTATAGAGTTCATTGTAATGTCTGTTCAAAATTATGTCTGTTCAGTGTTCACGCCATTTCTGGTAAAATAACGTTCGATAAGGTAAAAATAGGAAAGTACAATCATTAATTGCAAAGCCTCTGACCTGCACAATTGTCATACCCCTGCGCTGTGTAGTTGTATATGATAAAGGGTTTATCCTCCAGAATACCCAGTTTCAAAGTGGAGCTCTCTAACTCCGGGTCATCAGCAGGAACCTCACTTCCACCACTATTCCAGAGTGGCTCACTTGTTAGCGTTACTTTAGGTCTGTTCTTCGGCTCCCACACTCCTACCTACTCAATATTAACAAATTATGAGATACGTATCCTACCTTTTTTTGTTGATTAATGAGTTAATTGTTTGAATTATTTTCTTTTGAAACTTCAGCTTGGATCTTACAACATGTGTTAAATTGCAAAAATCTTTCTAACTTCTACCTATAACGGGTGATGACTAAAAAATGGGACTTTTTTCAAGGGTCTTTTTAGTGTCGATAAAACTATTTTTGGTTCAAACCAATGAAACAGCGTTGTAAAACGGGCAATTTTGAACGAGTATGGTCAATGACAAGCGCCCATGAGCCCATTTTGATTGGTTCAGGAGGGCTTCTTTCATCAAGCTCAAAAATCCGTCTGTACAGTTGGGCCTAAAATCGTGTTGGCGCAGTCTCTTCTTTTGTGCCCTAAGGCCCATGTATGCTTGTAAGCCATATTCCGGGCATGTACATGTGTTGCCAGGACTCTAAAGAAGTCCTCTATGGGTTGAGATTGTCAAAATTTACTTTGGTCGATAACTTTTGGGACGAAATTGGCCCTTATGGCAAATAAAGATGTGGTTTTCCCAGAAAAATACGATCTAGCCCCATCCTAACGAACCACCTTCCACCCTTTGGGGATATTTTCTTGTAGGAACAACACCTGGCAAGGCTTCAAGCACTTTGATTTTTACGTGGTACCATTATAAACCATGCTAAAGCCGATAGTTGACCTAGCCTCGATCTTTCACACGGTAAAATTTTACCCCTCAGGTGGTTTTGAGCTCAAATATCTTCTTACTGGTTTTAGCTACGCTGATGGGTGTTGAACCCTCGTCTTAAGCATAACATTCGGCATACTCTCTGCTAAATATTTTTCGGTATGGAAGCTTTAACTACCTGTGAGGCGACTTCTGTGAACAGAGCTTTACTGTAAAGTTTTTATAGGACCCCTCCCCTAGTTCGAGACCATTATCGGGGACAAAGATCAACCAATTTCATCAAATGGGGGTGGAAACTGTTCGAGTATCGTTCAGAGTAACTGGTGGTTGTGGTAAAATATCAAAATTTTGTTCAGGTGGAATCTGAGGGCTAAAAAACATGTAGTCCCATTTTTTATTCATCACCCGTTATACATGTATATAGTACATGTATATGTATATAGTATTGAAGTTAAGTTAGCATGGACCATAGAAAATTTACCCGTGTAACGTTGTTGTCGCCCCCTCTGAAGTTGACAATGTTGTAACGCAGAGTGTCAGGGTCGGGCTGACCAGTGGGCCACATTTGTCGGTGTCCCGTTATCCCTGTATACTTCGACTGAGGACGGGAATTGGTCATACATGTATTTCATTAACTTTTCATTGTGTTTGATTCCTGATCAATGTAACTGACAATTTCAGTTTTTGTTTATAAGTACCAATTTACTGTTCTTATCAATTTTTAGCCTAACATTTAAAGATTTAACAACAAAGAAACCTTCTTTTTCTTTTTATATTTATTACTTTTGGCGAAGAATTCCAAGCAAATATCTTACCGTAGTGAACATTCTGAACATCTGTACTCCAAGTTGCCAGTCCCTTCTTGGAGTCTCCTGATAACACTCTCCCTCAAAGTTCCGTATAATCTCACTGTTCTCCTTGTACACCTCATGTAGACTATTAGCTATCAGGTACACTCCGTCGTATACCAGCGCGTCTGTTGGCTGAGGGAAGCCAATTTTGTAATTGTTAAATAGTTAAAAGTTAGACAATAGTCAATACTTTATTCATTGTTTAAAGTTTGAACTAGGAATCAAATAACTTTAAGTAACCAGCGCGTCTGTTTGCTGAAGGAAGGCAATTTTCCTTTGATTTTTGAAGTGGTGTAAATAAACATCATTGGTGATGATTAACAAGTAGCTTACTGATCAACTGTTTGAATTTTGAGTAAATAACGCTAATATAATTATATGTACTTCCCCTCGAAAGGTTCTGCTTATGACAGTAGTAATTGATTTTGAAATTACTAAAAGTTAGACAATACTTTATTCATTGTTTAAAGTTTGAACTCGGAATAAAATAATTAAATAATTCAGCACTAACCGTGAGAACGTTAAAACCGTTGTCCCTGTAAAGAGAGGATAGCCGTCTGTAGAACCCTCCAGTAACATCAAGATACGGTGACAGCCCCACCACCCCATCGTAGTAGGACTTCATTCTTCCTGCCTCGTTGTACGCAAATAGCTGGTGATATATTAAAATATCTATAACTCCTTTGTAGTTATAATGTAAGGATATTCATTTCTGTCGTGTGGTATCAAAATAGACACCCAAAAGTAATGTTTCATAAATTTTAGTCTTCTGCAGCTTATATATTCCACCGCCAATTGAACAACAACATCATATCAACAACAAGCAATAATTCATTGGAAAATTCATTTGGACAATACATTTGGACAATAAATTATCATTTAACGAGATTTACTGACTGACCATTGCTTCTGAAATAGCGGTAGAAGCAATCCAAGCGTAAACACTGTCCACCATACCGTATTCCTCAGCAGCACTGAGGATTATCTCACCGTAATCCGGTTGAGTGAGCAGTAAAGTTATCCTTGTTGTACTGTTCTGTAGTTGAGCTATCCACTGTCTGACAGATAATTAACTCGGTCAGATGTTTGTGGCGATTTTAATAAATGTTGCTGAATTAGATGATTTTTTCAAAATGTTCATTTCGATTAACATCCTGAATGCTAAGCAAAATAAACGGGTTCTTTTGCAGTTAAAAAGTGCAAGTAGGAATTCATCTTGTGAAGGAATTTGGTGACAATATCCTGGTGAAGTAGTAGCTACTGTATTAGCTGTAGCTTAGTAATAGTAAACCCGCTGAATGAGTCGAACATTAACCTCTTAGTTCCCTCTTCCACCAGCTCTGCCACCTCGTAATCAATCTCCAGCTCTGTTATCAGATCTAACCCTCTTTCTATAATAAGCTCTTTCACTGCTTCTGCTAGCGTCACTCCTTTTGAGGGTGAAAACAACTTTAAAGTCGGGGCTAAATCGGGGTTTTACTGTAACTAAATAACTGGAAAGTAATGTTTTAAGAAAGGACAACAACAAAAGAACAACATATGAACATACCACAGCAAGTGGAAATAAAGTAGGACAAAATAAGATGATATTTTTGTTAATTACCGTAAGGGTCGCTAGTATAAACAACTGCTATTCGCCTCCAGTTAAAGTGCTCCAGCAGATCTAACATCGCTTCAGCTTGCTTCTGAGAAGACAGTTGATGATTTAATAACCTTTTAATATGCTATAATCAATAATGATTGGTTTTATTTTTCCAATATTTAAGTGTTATAAGTTCAGAATGTAAATGGAAAACTTACTAGAAAGCATAAAGAAATGAAACAAGAATTTCGCCGCGGTTTCAACAATTAACAAACCCGATTAATTGTTTCTCTACTATTGCCTTCGGCAATAGTAGAGAAAAATGACTATAAAGTGTATAGAAAGTGTAAGTGTAAAAACCTCGTTTGAAGGGCTGAGCCGGGCGAGGGTCCCAGCCCAGTGGGGGTTATTAAGGTTAGGGTCGGTTGCAGTGGGTGATATGATTGGCAGACCTATCTGGGGGGTTATTAAGGTTAGGGTCGGTTGCAGTTGGTGATATGATTGGCAGACCTATCTGGGGGGTTATTAAGGTTAGGGTCGGTTGCAGTGGGTGATATGATTGGTAGACCTATCTGTGAGGTTATTAAGGTTAGGGTCGGTTGCAGTGGGTGATATGATTGGTAGACCTATCTGGGGGGTTATTAAGGTTAGGGTCGGTTGCAGTGGGTGATATGATTGGCAGACCTATCTGGGAGTTATTAAGGTTAAGGTCGGTTGCAGTGGGTGATATGATTGGCAGACCTATCTGGGAGTTATTAAGGTTAGGGTCGGTTGCAGTGGGTGATATGATTGGCAGACCTATCTGTGAGGTTATTAAGGTTAGGGTCAGTTGCAGTGGGTGATATGATTGGCAGACCTATCTGGGGGGTTATTAAGGTTAGGGTCGGTTGCAGTGGGTGATATGATTGGCAGACCTATCTGGGAGTTATTAAGGTTAGGGTCGGTTGCAGTGGGTGATATGATTGGCAGACCTATCTGTGAGGTTATTAAGGTAAGGTTCGGTTGCAGTTGGTGATATGATTGGCAGACCTATCTGGGGGGTTATTAAGGTTAGGGTCGGTTGCAGTGGGTGATATGATTGGTAGACCTATTTGTGAGGTTATTAAGGTTAGGGTCGGTTGCAGTGGGTGATATGATTGGCAGACCTATCTGGGAGTTATTAAGGTTAGGGTCGGTTGCAGTGGGTGATATGATTGGCAGACCTATCTGGGAGTTATTAAGGTTAGGGTCGGTTGCAGTGGGTGATATGATTGGCAGACCTATCTGTGAGGTTATTAAGGTTAGGGTCGGTTGCAGTGGGTGATATGATTGGCAGACCTATCTGGGGGGTTATTAAGGTTAGGGTCGGTTGCAGTGGGTGATATGATTAATGATTGGCAGACCTATCTGGGGAGTTATTAAGGTTAGGGTCGGTTGCAGTGGGTGATATGATTGGCAGACCTATCTGGGGGGTTATTAAGGTTAGGGTCGGTTGCAGTGGGTGATATGATTGGTAGACCTATCTGGAGGTTTATTAAGGTTAGGGTCGGTTGCAGTGGGTGATATGATTGGTAGACCTATCTGGGGGGTTATTAAGGTTAGGGTCGGTTGCAGTGGGTGATATGATTGGCAGACCTATCTGGGGGGTTATTAAGGTTAGGGTCGGTTGCAGTGGGTGATATGATTGGTAGACCTATCTGGGAGGGGGTTATTAAGTTTAGGGTCGGTTGCAGTGGGTGATATGATTGGTAGACCTATCTGGGAGGGGGTTATTAAAGTTAGGGTCGGTTGCAGTGGGTGATATGATTGGTAGACCTATCTGTGAGGTTATTAAGGTTAGGGTTGGTTGCAGTGGGTGATATGATTGGCAGACCTATCTGGGAAATTATCAGGTTATACTTATTATAATATTTATTTAAATGTTCATTAGCAGCATAATTGTTGATTAGAGTTATTTAGTTGAGTTAGTGTAGCGAAACTAAATAACTTATGATCTACTCTTTTTAAATAAAACAAAAAATAACCCAGTTGTTTTTGTTCCAAAAAATAACAGACCGGATCGGTATCGGCAGTGGACGGCATGTTTGACGGCATGTTTGACGGCATGTTTGATCTATTATACCTGATGTGACTGACCTGTCCAGCAATGTAGGAACATGACTTGGTTTGTGCGGAGGTAAAAGGTCCCACAACAGCAACCATGTCCTCCTCCCTCAACAACTTGCACACTGCAAAGTTATTATTATTTGTTATTACTCCTCCCTCAACAACCAGCACACTAGTGCAAAGTTAATATTATTCACTGAATATGGTAGAATTATTCGCTGTACAATTGTACACCTGATAATTATATTAATATACACTAATTGATAATTACACACTCTTGGCAAACCTAGAACGCAATGCACATTTTTCCGTATTTTTACTCGTATTAAATTATTATATTTGATTTCGAGTGAGGTGCCTAAATATATCAGTAGACAGAAACAAAAAGTAAAACAAAATTGTTTTTTTGCCCACTTTGGTAGGTAGCTGAGGCTGGATTATCTTTATCTGATCCAATGTTAATTGATACCTCCTCAATCACAGTCTCTGGTAATATCTGGTAAATATAAAGATGATGAAGAAAGAATAAATAGTAATGAAAAGTCATATAAATATACTATGGCAACCGTAATTAATGTATGTGATACTGATAGCTAGTTTTTTATATTAACTATATTATTATCTATCACAGATCCCTATAGTTATTCAAGAACCTATTGGAACAAAATAGTTCCGCCATTTGTGGGGAATGAAATTTCCGCGCCATGATGACATCAAATAAATATAAGCATTCTGAGACGCTTTTTTCAATTCGTTAAGACTGTCTGAAATTGCGTTAAGTTAAAAATGGCTTGAAATGCTCACCTCAGAATTTTCATTTATCTCTGCAATAGCTTTTCTGAAGGCAAGTGGAGAATGGGAGGATTCATTTGTGTACAGTAATGCTGAAATTAAAATCACGTCTTCATATCAAGAAGTAGACCTAGTTATCTGATTACGGTAAACATTAAATTTATATCGGCCTATTGATTCTTTAGGCATTGATCTAAGTTTTAGGACGAATAATTGAGAATTTATCGCTCTTGAACACTCACCTATTTTAACATTAGGTGTGGACAGAGTAACAGGAGCGATCAAAGAAAGAACGAGAGCTTGACGGGCTTGACGGGCGACTAGAAACAACATAGACTAATGTGATTTAACGAATATTTCAGTACAATGTAAAACTAAATTTTGAAATAATCATTTAATTGCGATTTCCTACAATTTTTAAATTATCGGTACATTAAACCTAGTCTAAAAATACCTGATACATAAAATACCCAATACATATTTGAGCTGAGGAATCAAATTTTTGCATTTTGCTTATTGTTAACGCCTGTTTTATGAAAATATGTAAGTGCTTTTAATATCTCACTAACAATTACCAAGTTTGTCTGTTGTATGAATAACAGGCTAACTTGGTAATTTTAGTTATCGAAGTCTGTTAGAGCTGGTACCCTAAGTTAGATGAGTAAAAATCGTAAAAATGTAAACGTATACAGAAGTACACTGTATATATCATTAACTCACATTTAAAATTAACATATCGATCTACAGCCTGGCACCAGGGCATCAATATTGTTCCATTCAAAATCAAGTATCTGAAAATTCAAGCTATCAAAATTAATACACTGAACAGCGTCAGCCGGTAATTCAAAAGGACATACGCACACCAAATGACCACTAATTTAAATTCCAAAACTAAAAAGAGCTGGTGGTATAATACAGGAGCAGTGTCTGTGTATACTACCGGCACCCAGCAATTACTTTATCCTGTCAACCACCCAGCGCTTCCTTGAAGCTCAGACTGGATTTTCTACATTTTATTAGTTTCAATTACCAGGAGAGACAGTGTGTGGTAACCAGCCTATAGGTGGGGACCGAGCGAGGTAAAGACCAATAGCAGGGGCCGGAGCGAGGTGAAGACCATCAGAAGTTGTGTGACTGCCCCAATTTGAGGTGGTTTTTGAGTTGTCTTCGTTTTGTGAGATGAGGATTTTGAGCTGATTTGACCCGACTTGTTGTGTAACACACCCGACTTGTTGTGTAACACACCCGACTTGTTGTGTAACACACCCGACTTGTTGTGTAACACACCCGACTTGTTGTGTAACACACCCGACTTGTTGTGTAACACACCCGACTTGTTGTGTAACACACCCGACTTGTTGTGTAACACACCCGACTTGTTGTGTAACACACCCGACTTGTTGTGTAACACACCCGACTTGTTGTGTAACACACCCGACTTGTTGTGTAACACATCCGACTTGTTGTGTAACACACCCGACTTGTTGTGTAACACACCCGACTTGTTGTGTAACACACTCGACTTGTTGTGTAATGTTGTGGAGGCTTTGCTTCGTGTGCTTTTGTGGTGCTTTTTTGCTCGAAGTTTCACTTTCTGAGGATCTAAAAATAGGTAATTTTATTTAACTACATGTATCTTCTGCTTTAGCGTCTTGAAAAATCAACAAGATATATAATTATTTTTTGTATTAGCATCATTGCCGATCACTGGCGAGTCAACTTGAAATACAATTATTTTTGATATTTCCAGCTTTGCTGTTCACTGACGAGTCGCCAAACACTGAAGTTGCTTTCAATGAAGCTATAAGAGAGATAAACTACAATGACAAGGTGTTTTAATTAATATCTTTAAATTTACTTCTTGCACTATCGCGTCACACATCATTATTGTTTACACAATGATGAATGATGATGAGAAGGAAACGCCCCTTTGTATTCAATCAAAAGATCTGATGTTTACCAAAACATATGCAATTCATTTACATGGGCTAATTAGTATTGTGCTTATAAGGTGTCCTTTGGTATCCATAATAAAGTTATTGGAATTATAACGATTATTGATTAAAAATTTTGGACTCACAAATTCTCGTTGATGTTACGTTTCGTGATTCAATCGTTTATACAATATTGCTTCTTTACAGATGCTTCCAGAAACAAAGATAGAGATGGTAGCAATGAGCATCGGGTCAGAAGCGGACAATCCGGCCAATTCAACTTACAAAAGTACAACAAATTTTAAATCAAAAACAATTGAACACACGTGTTTTAATTCAAACTCTGATCATTAATTATGTAAATATTCTCATTGGTCGATTGAAAAGTGGAAGAGAGAATCCACAATTTGTATCAACCAAATATGGTTTTGCTGAAATGTTTTCCGACCAACTGGCCTTTGAACCAACCTTCCTAACGACCGATGTAGGCACATATATATTTAAAGTTAACTTGTTTCTGCAGTGTGCAGGTTACTGACTGAGAATGATATCGTGGCTATTGTGGGACCTTTCTCTACCCCCCATGTTCGGGAGTGCTCTTATATTGCAGGACAGGTTACTTTGTTACTCTTTTACAATGCTATACAGTCACACCTCTACATACAGGGTTCTTTGATATACCGGGCCTCTTCTATTTCCCTTATTTTTTATCACTCTTTTGTAATGCTATATGCTTTTAGATTGGCAGTTAATTTTTCAGGAAAACATTTTATTTTTCATCTAAAAAACCGTCTACACTTTTAATGTAGTTTATCAATTCACGAATTATAAAAAGTATGAAATATAAAAAGTATGAGTATGACTTGTTTGATGTCTAGAATAACCCAGGTTCCCTCTCCAGATGGGTCTACCATTTATCGGTCCAACAGTATCAGACCCGTATCTCCTAAACCAACACTGGTCCCCAACTCTAGCTAGACTCAGCCCTTCTAACAAAAAACAGGCAGAAGCTTTGGTGGACTTGGTGGAGCATTTCAAGTGGAAGAGAGTGTCTTTAATGTACAACAACGACCCTTATGGTAATCACTTGTTTCAAATAACAGTTGCAACAATGTAAATACGTTGTTTATATTGCGACGTTACCGAATCTTAGTTTTTCTCAACAAATCTCCGTTTTGATTAAATGGTCACAAAGAAAAAGGAATATGATTCAGAAAGACAATAACAAAAAGTAAGTGTGCTTGACTTCAAAAATTTCTTTTATTCGCAAGTTGTGTGTAACTTCAGGGTTGACACTGAGGGAGGCGATAAAAGAGGAACTCCTCAAACGAGAGCTAACAGTGATAACAGAGGTCGAGATAGAGCACAACTTGGTCAGGAGACTCATCCATCCTTCCATGTCCAAGTAAGACTCAAATAATTACATTCCCACTAGTTGTTCTGTGTAAAATGTTACACATTTTGTTGTTCATAAACTGTTTAAAGTCTGTAAAAAAATTGTTTTAAAACTGTTCAAAAACTTTGAAAAAATTGTTTTAAAATTGTTTAAAAACTGTTCAAAAATTTGTCAAAAATTGTTTTCCCCAGAGGTTGGATAGAACAGTTGATAAACTCCTCAAGCCGAATAACTCTGCTCCTGGTTCAGCCTGACTTTGCTGATATTATTTTGGAGGCTGCCTCGGAGCACAACATGATTGACAGTGTGTACGCCTGGATTGCCTCTACTGCTGTTACTCAATCTTTTGTGAGATATTTACACATTTATAATCATTTACTCAATCTTTTTTGCATTTCAACTGCGATAGTGAAGTCCCGGCCGTATATGCACCGGTTACACTAGTGAAAGCATAAAATAGCAGAGAAATCTCTCTCTCTGCAGCTGAACGCGTACACTGAAGAGGGTCGCATAAAGTCGCACTACGATGGTGTTCTGGGTCTGTCTCCTTATCTAAACACTGAAGGAGATATCTACCGCACTCTAGAGAGGGTTTACAGTGACAATGATCTGCGGTTAACGGTGCGTTTTTTTAAAGTCCCGTTTTGTTTTGTCAAGTATTTTAATATCATAGTGATAAATTGATCAATTAACTGTTCCTAATGAAAGGATACCACTGATACACTGTACAATTATAAAGTTATAATAAGATCTTGTAAACTCAGCCCTTTCAGCCGACTGACGCACTGGTGTATGATTCAGTGTATCTGATAGCACACGGACTAGATGAACTATACAGAACCAACCCCAGGATTGAGATGAACAATTTTAAGGGGGAGTGCTACGAGGCTGCTGCTTATGATTGGATCCTAGGGACTGAGATTTACACCAAGTTCACTGCGGTTTAAATTCATATGTAACTTATGAATTCATATATATCAATGTATCTACAGTTATAATTCGTTATGATAAAGAATAGTCTAACAGAAATTAGTCCCAGAATGAAACTTTTACCTTCGAGTTAATGTTAAGGTAAGTTAAACTGAGAACCCCTCAGCTGAGTTACCAGGGCATCACAGGAACCAATCAGATGTGGCCAAACAGCCGACCAGAGAGGGACTCCTACAGGTACAACATCGTCAACTTCAACAGACATCTCTTAAAGAGTGACTCGGTGACAACGGTAATCTACTTAGATGGATACAATTAACTTACGATTACTTGTTACATAATCAGCTTGTGCAGAGTGAAATGTAAATTCCCCACAATGAGTATACTTTTTGATAAACATAACATGAAACTCATCACTACTCAGATTGGGAGCTGGGACCCGTACAGAAGTCCCACTATCTCCCTTACAAAACAGCCTGTATGGACCCATGGGATGGAGGATGCTCCTACGGATAACCCTATGATAACTGATGTTACTCTCCGGTTGGGGGTATTGGAGGACAAACCCTTCATTATCTACAATTATACTAACTACGGGTATCCTAATTGCTCCTGTGAGTTCTACTGATTCATCTAGTTTATTATTTGCAAAACTTCATGAAAGAAATGATGGAATGTTCAAGTCAAAAGAGGTCGATTGCTTGTTTAGTTCATATCAAAGGACATTAATCTCTTAATCATCTCTTTCTCTCTCTCTAACATCCTCAAAAAATGAGTTTTTTTATTTTTGTAATACGTCACAAGTTATGACGTCACAAATTATGACGTCACAAGTTATGACGTCACAAGTTATGACGTCACAAGTTATGACGTCACAAGTTATGACGTCACAAGTTATGACGTCACAAGTTATGACGTCACAAGTTATGACGTCACAAGTTATGACGTCACAATTTATGACGTCACAATTTATAACGTCACAACCTCACGCTATACATCATAATAAACTTATAATTTGCAGCAATGCCCAACAGAGACTGGTGCTACACAGGGGTGAGTATTGACATCATCAGACACCTTCAGAACAAACTAAACTTCAAGTACGAGTTTATAGAGTCACCAGATGGGAAGTTTGGGAGTGAGGTTAATGGAGTCTGGAACGGTCTTATCAATGAGATCGGTGGAAAGGTAATTTAAAAAGGCTAAATTCCTGTTACTCATTGTCGTAAATTACCAGGTTACTTTTGGTAGGACTACTTAAGTGTTTTCTAAGATAAAGTGCCTCCAAGTTTAAGTACTTGCGTCTTGGTAACAGCTGAAGACGATATAATACACATGTATTTTGAAAGCTCATTCTATCTTTCTATATAATAAAACCTTTTGTGTCATTTATATAGGGTGGGCCAAAAGTCAGTACCCATACGTTGGGTCTTATACCTCCGCCGTCTTTTATATTTGAGAATTGTTGCTTTGCAGTGACTGAGCTATAAAGGCCAACGTATGGGTACTGTATTGGCCCACCCTGTATTTTCCAAGAACACTCTCCAGGAGAGGGAAAAGTTTGAGAAAACTTAAATAATATTATTTCTCTCAGTGGGTAGATCATGATTTACAGATTGAATTTAGATACGAAGGACGAAATAAGTGTTGCTATAAATCAGTTTCAACAAAATAAAGCTGATAACATTGAGATAATGTTATAAATCGATAGTCTTGCAAATTTGTCCCAAGATAATGGGTAGAGATAGATTCGAATGGTTTACAAATCATAAAAAGAAAAAGAAATTTATTTTCAGAGGCTAGATGTAGGAGTGGTCGGGTTTGGAACGTCTCACAGCAGAGAGAAAGTTGTGAACTTTGGGATATCTTTTTACCCAGGGGGTGTTAGAATGGCGACCAGTAAAGATATCTCTACCACGGACTACTTCTTCTTCTTACGACCCTTCTCTAGAAATGTGTGGTAGGAAGATTTTGAGTCTTTTATCTTTTTATCTCAAATATTCGGTGTCCTTTATATTTGTTCGCGCATTTTCGTTGTGGTCCCTTTTTTAAGGTAAACCACGTGGGTGCAATCAGATGTAACCACACGATGCCATACCTCATTTCCATCTAGATCTTCTTTCTCATCTACTACATTCTTTACAACATTTACAGCATTTATAAGTGTAATAGTACTGTTACTCATAGTTATATAACCGTTATAAATATTTATCGAAAAAAAATGAGACTTTTTTATTTGTATGTCATAATTATTCCATAATCTGACCTTCCCGTTTCAGGATCTCAATACTGGGTGGGATCGTGTTCTTCTTCGCTATCCTCTACCTCCTGGACAGGTTCAGCCCGTATGGTAATGATGGAGGAATCAGGTTTAAAAGTAAATTGTGCATGTGTGAGAACTGTGCAAGGCTACTAAAGAGAGGGGGGTTCAGAGACAATCTGTGTCCGTTTAAGGAGGACCACGATCTAAAACATGAAATGGGTAGGTAATCTGGCAATCAGGTACCTTTTATTTTATTGCTCTGTTACATCGTTGCGGACCTCTAATTAAGTCCCTCTCAAATTGTGAAATATTTTATCACAAATGAGTTACAATTTCAGCGATTATGAGTGCCCCGAACGCTCTCTGGCTCTCTATCTGTTCGTTCCTAACTGTTGCCCCTGCCGACGGTATCCCCAAAAACTGGTCAGGTCAGATCATGGTTATCACCATTTTACTTTCATTACCATTACAATAGCTGTTTTAAATGATAACTGGAAATAAATTATGTTGATGAATGATTAATACACTTATACAGATGTTTCAAGTGATTTTAATAGCTTTGATGTGCATGATGTACATTCTTACATTGTACAATCTACATTATAACACGATATCCAGCTACTTGGGATATTAACACGTGCACAACCCAGCTACTTGGGATATTAACACGTGCACAACCCAGCTACTTGGGATATTAACACGTGCACAACCCAGCTACTTGGGATATTAACACGTGCACAACCCAGCTACTTGGGATATTAACACGTGCACAACCCAGCTACTTGGGATATTAACACGTGCACAACCCAGCTACTTGGGATATTAACACGTGCACAACCCAGCTACTTGGGATATTAACACGTGCACAACCCAGCTACTTGGGATATTAACACGTGCACAACCCAGCTACTTGGGATATTAACACGTGCACAACCCAGCTACTTGGGATATTAACACGTGCACAACCCAGCTACTTGGGATATTAACACTTGCACAACCCAGCTACTTGGGATATTAACACGTGCACAACCCAGCTACTTGGGATATTAACACGTGCACAACCCAGCTACTTGGGGTATTAACACGTGCACAACCCAGCTACTTGGGATATTAACACGTGCACGTAACCCAGCTACTTGGGATATTAACACGTGCACGTAACCCAGCTACTTGGGATATTAACACGTGCACAACCCAGCTACTTGGGATATTAACACGTGCACAACCCAGCTACTTGGGATATTAACACGTGCACAACCCAGCTACTTGGGATATTAACACGTGCACAACCCAGCTACTTGGGATATTAACACGTGCACAACCCAGGTCGGATCATGATAACCATATGGTGGATGATATGTCTGGTCATGGTCAGCATGTACACTGCCAACCTGGCTGCTTTTCTGACAGGTTAACTTTCACTTTTGCTTTTATTTTCATGTGGTCAGCATGCATATACCACCAATTTAACAAGAAATGTTGCCGCTTTTCTTTTGTGGATGGCCGCTAAATTTCCCGATCCGTGATGGCCGCCCAGTTAATTCCATATTAAATTAGAAATACATTTCTATGTCATATGTAACACTAACCATATGTTTATTGTTTATGCAACCTGATATAGTGATATGACACGGATCTGTGCAAAATGGTAATACTATAATTTACTAACTCGAAATAATATGCTATCAATTAGTGCCTATAAGCTAGTTGGATGAAATTAACGATTTGATCGGTTCAGCGTCGCGCGCCAATACCAATTTAATTCAGATTTCAGAATATTGCGCAAAATAACTTTGCGGAGTGACAAACAAAATTTGGTTGCTTTACTGACAATGACATGGATTTGTTGAGCATCAATTTGTAGCTTTTACGTTAGAGTTATGGTGAGGGTCAATTTTCGGGGGGTCAATTGTCGGGGTGTAAATTGTCGAGGTGTAAATTGTCGGGGTGTAAATTGTCGGAGGGTCAATTCTCGGGGGGTCAATTGTAGGGGGGTCAATTGTCGATATAATTAATGGGCAATTTAGTTCATTTGTGTGGTATGTTCGCCTTAGTATCCACATTTAAACAAATAAAAAGCTATAACTTACAGAGAATATGTAGTCTAGGCTTACCTTTCATATAAAGTAAGTCTCATTCAAAAATATTGATATTTAACCAATTTATGGGCCGAAATCTATTAAATTTGGTGCGTATGCCCAAATTTGGGCAAATGGTTTTTGGCCCATAACTCAGTCATCTTTTGTCCAATCTTGATGAAATTTCATTTATGAGTTTAGGAGCCCACTAGCTACAACCTGGGGTTTCGACATGTTCAGGGTATTAGGTCAAATTGGGCCTAATTTGGACCAAATATGGGCGTGGCTGCACCGCGGGCACCGTTTGGCGGTTGGTGTCCGGGACCCCTCAAAAGTTCGGTCACCGGTCCTAGTTTGTTGAAATCAAACCCCCTATCTTGAAATCAAACCCCCTCCTTAATATATAATGTTACGCTCAATGGACTCTGCAATCTATATTACAATCGTGGCAATTACGTCGCGACGGTCGTTTTCTTCATTAGGTTCAAGGTCGCAATATTTATTGCAGCGGAAAACATTAAAGTTTTAGCAGATTGTCCGGCTAAATCTCCCTTTATATGGTGTTACCAGGTTACATCTAGTCTCGTATTCTGTACAATAACAATGGCTCCAGAATTATAAAAATTATAGCTCGCCAGTGAACTATAGTTTTTATAGTTCCCTTAAATCACTCCAGCATTCTCACATAGCATACGTAACAGCTCCTTTTCCTTTGCGTGTGTAATGAAATAATCGCCTTCCTATATTATAGAATGTTTGAGTTAACTTTGTTTGTCGAATTTGCTCGCCCTATCTCTCTCTCCTCTCCTCCTTTCTTTGTTTTCTCTGTCCTGCAGTGATCATGCACGCCACGCCGAGGCCAAAACTTGCGGCGGAGGCGGCGTTTTTTACCTCTTTCCCTCAAAATTACTCGTGACTATCAAATTTCACTAGTTCTGTGACTCTGCACGTTTGACTCTGTGAGTTCATCTTTTTGTTGCTCTCCTTCAGTCGGCTGTTTTTCTTTCGCTCTTCAATTTTTGTAAATCTTCAGGATACAAGCTATAACTTTATGATATCTTTTTATCAACTTATTAAGTTCACAATGATTTCTAAACTTGGTCTGTTTTGTTCTACATCAAATAAAATTTTATCATTCACATATTAACACATCCCTACACGGGAATCGGTCGCGAGGGCGGAAGTCGCGAGGGCGGAGGTCTCGAGGACGGAAGACCCAAGGGCGTAGGACTCATGTGATCGACCTCCGCCCTCGAGTCCAACCTTTTAGGAAACTTCCGCCCTTGAGTCCTACGCCCTTGGGTCTTCCGTCCTCGAGACCTCCGCCCTCGCGACTTCCGCCCTCGTGTCCTATACCCGATATGTGATACACATATCGCATAAGCTAATTTATTCACGTTAAGCTGGCACTCAATCATAACAGTTTAAAAACTTTTATAAATACCATCTTAGAAAGCAACGATGGAAGTCCAAACGATCATTATTAAGATAAAGGATGGTGATCCTCTGCTCGTGTCAAAAAACCTACTTACCAAGGATAGCCGTATGTTTACGTATCTAATAGAGGAATTAAAATATGATGAGCTTGATCTAGAGGATTTCTCAACTGAAACAGTTTCCCTGTTTCTAACCCTACTAGATGACAGACAACTGGGTGAAATTGAAGATGGAATATTCAGAGAATTGCACAAAATAGCCAAAGTGTTTGAAGTCAACTGGTTGAGAGAAAGATGCTGCAATTGGTTAAAATGCAGAATGGACTCCATCGCAGAAAATAATGAAATAAAGTTCCTATTCGACGAATGCTGGTATATTCTCAAAAAGTGGGAGGATAAAGAAATGACAAATGAACTGGTTTCAAGTTTGGCTCTGAAGGACAATTCATCGTTTATCTCAGAATATATGTCAGATCTTGACAAACTGGAGACAGGGCAGATAGATTTGCTAGTCAAACTTGGAAGAAGCAACACTGATCACTTCCTCCAAATCATTTTGCACAACTTGTCCGGTCAAAAAGTTTTGAATGAAAAAGTGAGACATCTTCTTGAAAACATAAATTTGGCGTTATGTTGTAAAAGAAATGAGGAGCTGTATCTTGAAGTGTTTGAAGTTATATCGAACTTGTCCGGGATATCAGTTGCTGATCTGAAATCTACTCACCAACTCACGTTAGAAACTACAAGATTAACCAGTTCTAGAAGAGAAAAAATAAAATCAGGAACATGTGTTGTGTATGATGCTAAGGAATATATTTCCCTTCTGAATAGTTGTAAAACATTGAATGATATCACTAAAGCTGTAGATAAAGGCCGCATAACATCCATATTAGTGGTAGTTGATGTGTTGATAAGGATTTTCCTTGGTGATGCAGCTAACAAAGATCAAGAAACTGTTAAACTATTTGTGACTGCACTCACAAATATTTGCAGTGTTAAAGAGCTACAAAAGGTATCTAGATATTATTTAGATATCATCATAACAGCTTTAAACTACTTTACTCTAGAACAATCAGGACAGCTTATCACGCTGCTGAAGGAGTTGAAGAAGAACGAGACGTTCTGTACGCACCATGAGATCGTTACAATAAAACATCATAAAATAAATAAAGTAACAGCGGAAAAGGAGTACAAAATCCTGTTTAAATTCAAACATCCTGGAACAGGAACCTGCACAGAGTCTGATAGTACGTGCGGTTTTATCTTGAGAAATATTAGCCATGAAGGTAACAGTACCACTACACTGTGCACACAAGGTGAGGACTACAAGAACACAGGATTACATTATCATGATGTCATATCCGCACGTGACATGGACTGGTATGATAAATATATAATATATAAATGGTATGATAAATACTCAGGTACCACACCTGCTGGTTACAAGGTAACAGTGGTAGGGAGGTGCAAGTGGTGGGAGGAGTGGCTACCAGCTGACATAACAGACTGGAAGTATGAAGCACGTTTTGTAGACTACAATGTTGCTGATTACTTGGTCGCTAAACGAAATTAGTGCTTTTCATACTTATTCTGTGAGATTTGACTCATTTTGACATAGTATTTCGTTTGTTAGACTCTGGATCAGTATACAGACAATTATCACTTTACCCGGTTACAAAAGCTGGGTCAGTAGATTGCAGTAATTTTGTAAATACCTTTAATTGTTTCATATTTTTGAAGAAGACAGATTATATAATGAATATCAACGATCAATATTTATTATATAGTTAGTTTACGATTATGTTTGAAATTTATTGCAGTTTTTGTTGTAACACTAACTCATGATTATGCTGGTATTATTAGATTTATGTCTTGGTGCAGCATACAAAAGTAACCATCATGTGTTTACTATTTACGTGTTTAATCTTATCCTGTGTTTTATTTCGTGTTAAATGTTATCTTGCACTTGTTTTAACGTAAGATAGATAACAGAAAAGGGGAGGAAGAGAAAAATAAAGGAGATAGTGAACACCTTTAATTGATACTATGTCCATCTTGAGAATTGACCCTGCTACCACTTTACGTCTGGTATAATTGAGTGTTCTGATGAGTTCGTTTCTTTCTTTTTATCTGAGCTATAACATTTTCTGAAACCCTCTCCTCTTGTAGTAGATATGGTAAAACGTCACTAAACCTCATTATAATAGAGAAATCAGCTTGTATTTGCAAATATAAATCATGTCAGAAGCATTCTGATATGATGAATGGTTCTGAACTGCATTTCAGTTTCCAGTAAAGGTGTTGATATACGCTCAGTGGATTTAGTTTAACTGCATTTCAGTTTCCAGTAAAGGTGTTGATATACACTCAGTGGATGAGTTCTGATTTAGTTAAACTGCATTTCAGTTTCCAGTAAAGGTGTTAATATACACTCAGTTTAACTGCATTTCAGTTTCCAGTAAAGGTGTTGATATACACTCAGTGGATGATTTAGTTTAACTGCATTTCAGTTTCCAGTAAAGGTGTTGATATACGCTCAGTGGATGATCTCCTGGGCCAACAAGAGTACGCTTTTGGCACAGTGGAAGGATCGATCACAGAGAATCTGTTCATCAATAGTGATGTAAGACATTAAGATTCCGATTCTATTACTACTATAGTTGATTCTATTACTACTAGTTGATTTTATTACTACTAGTTACTCTTCTAGCTGAGAACGACTAACAAGTCTTATTTGATATTTTAATTATTTTTAATTTTGAACAACAACCTATTAATTAAGCAATTACATTTGTAGAACCCTGGCCTCCACCGCCACCGCTTTTCGTTTTTGCCCTTCTATTTCTTTTTTATCCTAAATTTTTAATTATCAGAATGCCAAGTCACTTTAATCCACCAAACAACCAGAACGCCAAATTACGGAAACTGTACGACCGTAGTGCATCAACTGAGTCCTATAAAGAAGGAGTTACACGGATGAAGCTGGGAAAGTATATTTTTCTTTACGGTAACGGTCCTCTCGACCTAACCACCTCAATTAACTGCAATTTGGAAATAATTGGCGATGTCCTCGTAGATTTCGGGTATGAAGAAATTATTGGTTTTTTGATAAATTTAAATTTGTTAAAAATCCATTTGAAAAAGGTATATGAAGAGGTGGAAATGAAATGTTACGTTTTACCAGTTATTGTTATTTCATTTGAATGACTGTTTCAGTGTTTCATTTTAGCTTCCAGTTATAATTCCTGCCAGAATAACAATTTTAACATTTTCAGGTACGCATTTGCGTTTCAGATCGACTCTCCCTACATTGAACTTTTCAACAGAGAAATGCTGATCCTGCAGGAGAGGGGCATGATAAAGGACTTGTGGCAAAAATTTGTTAAAGGTCAATTTTTACAATTAGCTCAGCTGCATTCATGGTCATCGTTCAGACAATTATTCGTTTACTTCCATTGATGGCTATGAAATTCAACCAACAGTTCAATAACTTGTACATCATCATTTTGATTTTAAGGCGTTAGTGCCGAGTAATGCCTCTGGGTAGTGCTCCTCAATCAATCAAATCATCAATTAAATTATGAAATATTTATTGTTTACACAAACCATTCACATGGTTTACTGAACAGTTTGGGGAAAGGAAAATAGTGCCGTATAAATGGTGGAATACGGTATATATCACGGTTTTACTGTACTTGGTAAATCAAAATGAAAACGTACATACTATATATCGCAGTTTCAATTTGAAATTGTTTTCCTTTTCAACTTTTATTTTTAAAATGTTTAATCGTAATCATAAACATCAGGTCATTGCGACGAAGATGATGATTTTGATGCTGAAGCAGACAGTCTTGAAGTAGTCAACTTGCTGGGTTAGTAATTTAATATTATAAATTGATACGTATTTCTGACGTTTTCTGACAAATATGTTCATAAGGTCTAAAAATATAAAGTTTTAAATACTTCTGTCACAATTTCGGAATTTCTTATGTTTCTGATTGGGGATAAGTCTCCACTTAAAAACAAAATATGGATAGAATAAATTATGGATAAAATAAAGATAAAATAACCAAAATTCCAAAAATGTGACTTATGCACATTTACGAAAGATATCCGATTTTGTTTAGTGCAATTAATACACTAAAAGCTGTAAGCCTGTTAATTACCTACCGGACAGCAGGGGATCAAAAGAGCATAAGAAGCATAAAGCAACAAATCCACCAAACCGCGAGATAGATCCTTATGACAATTTTATGGCATTAAACTATACATAAAATTTGTCGCAGATAATGCTATAATGGGAAAAATCGCGATTCCGTACATGCCGCGATTTCCTTTTGTCCCTGGTATGTTATAGAGTTATACACTTCCACAGATTGACTTGCCACTAAAGCACTAAGGGCGTTATTTTACCAACTGGTTTTCAGAATTACTTATTAGATGGTAACTTATAGGTGGCAACTAGGTGGCAACTAGGTGGTAACTAGGTGGTAACTAGGTGATCACTAGGTGGTAACTAAGTGGTAACTAAGGGCGTTATTTTAACAAATGGCTTTCAGGACTACTCATTATTTGTGTTCCCCTCCTAGTCCTCGCTGCTTTAGTCTTTTTGCTGGAGATTCTCGCATCTCCTAAAAAGAAAAATGGAAAAAGATTGGTAAGTAAAAATAAATATAGCTTCTTTACTGGCCGCAGTTTTACAAAATATAGTTTATTAGTCTTGTTTCAGATGTCTTCATAATTAAATAATTAGGTCTCAACTTCCACTTCCACTTCCACTTCCACTTCCACTTTCACTTTCACTTCCACTTCCACTTTCACTTTCACCTTTTCCTAACCAGGACATGGGAGATGCGATACAAGCAGTATTTGAGGACGATCAGATGATACAAGCTAACAAAACATCTCAGCCTCTCGTGATATGTAGAGAGGACACTGGTGAGACAATAATCAATGTTGTGTGCTAACTCACTTAAAAAAATAGCCCCAATAAGGCGTAGCATAAACAGCAAATGAATTTTATCTTCAGATTAGAATCAAATTGTCACGAACGTTAACAATACACAGTTAAATACGTTACCGATAAGTTTTATCAGCTCACTGAGAGTATCTAAGAAAAAAAAATTCTTCAAGTTTCTTAAAAGACAGCTAAGTTTAACCTGTCCAGATCTCACATACGAAGTACCCAGACCGGGCAGCTCCCTAGAGTACGTGAGTCCTGATTTTGATCAGTCAGTGTATGATAGGGAGGCCCTGTGGACACAGTCCCACAACAAATCTACTCTTACTGAGACTGCTGATAATATTCTGGTGAGTACTACATGGATTATGTTTGATACATTTTGTTTCCTTTAAGGCTGGGGTTCACCCTGAATTTTTTGTGAAACTTGGTTTCGAGATAGCAGTTGACCAATTTTCATCAAGATTGGACAAAAAATGACTGAGTTATGAGCCAAAAACCATATGACCATATTTGGGCATACGCACCAAATTTGATCGATTTTGGCCCATAAATTGGTCAAATATCAATATTTTTGAATGAAACCAACTTTATATGGAAGATAAGCCTATACTACAGATTCTCTATGATTATCAGCTCAATATCTACCTAACTGAAAAATGCCCGGCAAATTTCAGAATTTGGCCGCCAAATTTTTTTAAAGGCCTAACTCAAAATTCCATATTAAAACTTAAGGTCGAAATGCGATTCTACGTTGATTCTGAAAATTTCATGTAAAAATATTGAAACCCTATTGAGTTCTATTGTTTTGAACGAAATCAGTTTCGCAAATATCGCGAACTGAGATATGGGCGATTTTGTTCATTTTTTGCAATTAATTGAACACAGAATCCACAGTTAGGTAGATATTGAGCTGATAATCATAGAGAATCTGTAGTATAGGCTTATCTTCCATATAAAGTTGGTTTCATTCAAAAATATTGATATTTGACCAATTTATGGGCCAAAATCGATCAAATTTGGTGCGTATGCCCAAATATGGTCATATGGTTTTTGGCTCATAACTCAGTCATTTTTTGTCCAATCTTGATGAAAATTCATATACTTGTTCAGGGGACCACTAGCTACAAGTAGAGCACCTAAAATCTGGGTTTTGGGCATGTTCAGGGTATTTGGCTAAATTGGGCCTAATTTGGATCAAATATGGGCGTGGCTGCCCCGCAGGCACCGTTTGGCGGTTGGGGTCCGGGACCCCCTCAAAAGTTCGGTCACCGGTCCTAGTTTGTTGGTCAACTGCTATCTCGAAACTAAGTTTCACAAAAAAATCAGGGTGAACCCCCCCCCCCCCCCCCCCCCCCCCCCTTAAGGTTATCTTTCTGTAGCTTTATAAGTTATCAAATAAATCGTCTTACTGCCATTTGTAGTGATTCCTACAGAGGAGTCATCGGAGTTTTATACTTTCATAATTCATTGAAGTCATGTTAACTTCAGCCACTTTTCACCATAAGCCATAAGCTTTCAATCATTTTAAGATGTTTTAAAGCTTTAATTAAAGTTGTCTGCCCCAAATTTCAGGCACATGTAGCTATCATAACAGATGCTAGTTACACAGGCTGGGGTGCAACTAACTTAAACACTAAGAAAAGGTTTGCATTTAAACTGTAAAGAGTCTTTCCACTTAAGAATTTTAACGCTTTCTTCTACCTCTTCCACCTTTCTCCCACAAGTAAACACCAAATAACACGCTAATAACAAGCTAATTACAAGTTATTACACACTAATTGCCTGATAGTAACCCACTAATTGTTACAGTGTAAGGGGTTACTGGAGGGAGGAAGAAAAAGCTCTACCTCAACACATCTTGGAACTGAAAGCTGTGTATTTGTCCCTCAAGATATACTCTAAGTTCCAGCAAAACGTGCACATGCAAGTCAACCTTGATGATCAGGTGAAATAACACGCTAATAACAGTACGCTAATTACACGCTAATTACACGCTAATTGCCCGCTAATTACCCACTAATTACCCACTAACTACCCACTAATTACCCACTAATTACCCACTAATTACCCACTAATTACCCACTAATTACTCACTAATTACCCACTAATTACCCACTAATTACTCACTAATTACCCACTAATTACCCACTAATTACCCACTAATTACCCACTAATTACCCACTAATTACCCACTAATTACCCACTAATTACTTGATGATCAGGTGAAATTCATTCATTAATTTGCACGGACTGTTTTTCGGATATCAGAAATATCTTCTTACAAAAAATCAAGTAACTATGACTGTTATTTTTTTCATTTTTTAAAATTTGCATTGTAGATTATAGAACTTACTACATGCGGGTTCGCGGTAAATCGGGGTTCGCGGTAAATCGGGCTTTAATTGTTTGTTTACATTATACATCAACATGTTAAGCCCTATTTATATTTAGGAGAAGGAGATGGCCGGCCGTGGTAAATCGGGGTTTGCGGTAAATAGGGGCGCGGAAAAATCGTGGTTTAACTGTGCTGTACTTTTTAAACAAAAACTAAATAATAATATTGTTCTCAAAAGTTAAATTATAATTGTTTTTAATCTCAAGAGTCGAGTTGGAATCAAAATCAAGACCAAAGAAAAACAGTTTCACTCAGATTTCAAAGTTTAAATCTATACACTTTATAGTTTAGACGTTTAATCACTTTAAAACCTTCACTTAGCAGTTATATTTATCCATGTAGCACATGACAGCTCTGCAACAAGTCTTTTCCTTTTTCTTCCCGTCCTTTAGTCGGGTACAGTGGTGATTGTACGTAACACAACTCCACGGATCTGAAAATAACTTTGTCAGATTTGATGCTTCATATTAATATTTAGAGGTGATCAGAAAGACATGAAGGGGCTGTGTATCAATTAAAAATCTGCATCCATTTGAATTGCGTTATTTACCGTAGCTAAGGCTTGATCCGCACTTTTTTATATTGTTGAGATATGCTAGACAAGAGCAATCCATTACGTATATCTCGGGCCCAGAGCATTTCGTAAACTTGTCTACGCTGATAGCGTGTTCCGCCTCAAGTCCTGGAAAATAAGATTTGGTTTCGAGAAATTCTAAAAACTGCATTTATTAATGTGCACATTTCATTTATTGATTTATCCTAAAAATTTGTGTTTTCCTTTCTAGCAAAGACATCATCGGTATCCAATCAAAGCCTAATGAACCTCATTAATACACGCTAACGCCTTACTCTTGATCAGATTGGGTGACGAGATCACTAATTGAGTGCAAATATCACTGACTGAGTGCTCGGATCACATATCCGATGGATTTTAAAATGGTCATAACTCAGCCATATTTTAACCAATGAACTTGAAACTTTTGGAAAAGTTTTCAATTATCAAGCCAAATGTGTGCAAAAAATTTGGAGTTCTTAGCTTAAAGCGTTCTCATTTTATGAAGACAATAGTGAAAAAGAGGGAGTGTCACGCCACGCCCACTGTAATTGGGCGTGGCTTACGAAACTTTCAGAAAATCTAAGTTTGACCCATATCTATAATCTCTGAAATTTTGGTGCAATTTGGAGACGAATTACGTGAGCTATTAAGAGGTTGCGTGTGGGTAGTCACTTATGGGCCACTCTTATAGAAGTAAATTGCATTCTGTACTTTTCTCATCGATTATTATAGGTGGTTCTAGGGTCCTAATCTTGAAAACCCACGAAATTGTTTTCTTGCCCTTGGGAGAGTCCACGGGGTTGACACCATTTCTCAGGGAGTACCTTCGAGAGGACTTAATGTAGGTGATGCCACCACAATCTGGTAAAACAGATATGAAGTGAAGGGATCAACTTTATAAATCAACTTTATAAGAAATAAAACTTACGGTTTATAATTTGTAAAAATGTAGATCAAGATGAGAGTCATTAACAGAATTTCAGCTGTTTACTAACCAGAACGCTTGACACACCCAGTCTGTGCTTGTTCTAAATCGTCGTAATCGGAAACTCCAGATCTGTTTCTTCCCCTTAAATATTTTCCACGGTGTTTCTCCCAGATTCCTGAAAATATTTACCAGCCGTTAAAGGACGCACGGACAAGGATCTTGACAAATATGATAACAATTTAGTTCTGACTCTATAGAAATGCTTGGTCATGACTTACCGGAGTCAGCTGTTACTGCAACAATTATCAAAGCTAGTGCGACCAGAGAACACATTCCTTGACTGCTCCGAAACAAAACAATAGTATAAACAAAGTCACGTTTAGTTTGAAAATAAATCTATTTATGTGATCATTGATAAACTTTTGAAACTTCCAAAGATACAATCATACAATGGCCATAAACATTTAACAAATACTATTCGATCGAAACTTAATTCAACAATACATCTCGAGATTTGTTTATATATTAGAACTACACAATAGCATGTTTCGAAGCAGCTCCCCAAAATGTATCCGGGTAAACTAACGACTGTTAATAACCTTTCTCCAACAGCGGCGTACAGTTATTTAGTTTCATCAATACTGATCTGATCAGAGAAAATCAACAAATCAAATTAATCAAATTTTCGTAATTCCATTGAGTTCCTTTTCAACGGAACTGCAGGACTTTTGATGATGATATTATAATTTGCAGGGGTGTTCTGGATTAAACTTTAAATTGTATCTTTTGTTAGAGATTGTACTCTTACTCGTAGAGTGCAGTAGTAACTATGGTAACGCTTTTGTTAGAGAATGTTGATTATATTTGATGCCAATGATCCTGGCATAATGCTGTCGTGAATGGCACCGGACTACCGCGTTGTTTCTTTCACCGCTCGTACCTTCATATTATTATTGCAGAAAAATGAACTCAATTATTTATTGAAATTCATGTCTATAATTTGATTAAAATTCTCTACTGTTTCTTAGTAACTGGTATCCAATCAGATAAAAAGCCATCTACAAAGTATGTATTGCAGAATGCAGATGTATATTATATGATAACATTACCTTAAATGGAAGTGTAACTATGGACATGGTAACACTACCATATCAAGATTAATGTTTCCCGAAAATCAAACAACGAATGAGTACCACAAATTTCCAACAACATCTTTACAACATCGGTAAAATATTTTCGTCCATCCTCAGTTGGGGTAAAAACTCCAATAAAAACACTACCATATACGGTAACACACTCTTCCTCGTAGAGCGCAGTGGTAACTATGGTAACACTACCATATACGGTAACACACTCTTCCTCGTAGAGCGCAGTGGTAACTATGGTAACACTACTATATACGGTAATACACTCTTCCTTGTAGAGTGTAGTGGTAACTATGGTAACACTACCATATACGGTAACACACTCTTCCTCGTAGAGCGCACTAGTAACTATGGTAACACTACCATATACGGTAACACACTCTTCCTGGTAGAGTGGAGTGGTAACCATGGTAACACTACCATATACGGTAACACACTCTTCCTCGTAGAGCGCAGTAGACGTTATCAACGGTACAGACAACAAGAAAAGTTCGCAACCAGTTTCCTTCCTAAAACGTAAGATCTGGGAGCAGGTCCTGCAGTTCAACATAACGTTAACAGCCCGGTACGTTAGCAGCATATATTACCACCTAGTTACCACCTAGTTACCACCTAGTTACCACCTAGTTACCACATAGTTACCACCGTAAGATCTGGGAGCAGGTCCTGCAGTTCAACATAACGTTAACAGCCCGGTACGTTAGCAGCATATATTCCTGTTACTTATTGATGTGGGTTACTAGGTTACTTTAGATAGGTCTACTTGATTGTTAAGTAATTGTTTGGTAAAATAAGAAATAGTCAATCATACCGTTTACTTGATTGTTTAGTAGTTTTTAATATTAGTGTAGTAATAAATAGTAAATATCAACTAACAATGATAAGTAATAAATTCTGAATCACACCGTTTACAGGTACATGGATGGTGGGAAGAGCATCACAGCTAACACCATGAGTAGATTACCCGTCGACTCCACCGATTGGACCATCACTAATGAGCTGTACGATACAATCTGCAGCCACTTTGATGTTCAACCTGAGATTGACCTCTTTGCTTCGTGGATCACTTCTAAATGTCCGCTTTTTGTCAGCAAGATGGACGACCCGAAGAGCTTTGCTGTGAACGCTTTTAAGCAGAAGTGGGACTCCTGGGACTGTGTGTACTGCTTCCCTCCAATCAGCGAGTCTGTTCTCAGCAAGGTAAAATAATTACCACCTAGTTACCACATAGTTACCAACTAGTTACCAACTAGTTACCACCTAGTTACCACATGTGTGTACTGCTTCCCTCCTATCAGCGAGTCTGTTCTCAGCAAGGTAAAAGGATTAACAAATAGTAACCAAATAATTACCACCTAGTTACCACCTAGTTACCAACTAGTTACCACCTAGTTACCACCTAGTTACCATCTAGTTACCACATGTGTGTACTGCTTTCTTCCCGTGAGTCTGTTTTCAGCAAGGTAAAATCATAAAACTTCTGTTTTAAAAGCTGTCCTCTGTCATACTTATATCACTGTAGTAAGCTGGTGATAAACTAAACTGATAAGCAAATATAACTTAAAGTACAGACTGTTCTAAAAACCTAACTAAATCCTCGACCCTAATAGAGAACCTCACAACAGGTGTCAGCTCAGGTTGCCAGGTCCTACTGCAAGGTCTTGCTCATAATCCCCTGGTGGACAAGAAGCAACTGGTTTGTGGAACTACAGAAACACAAGATAGCAGAGGCGTACCCTTTGGGGAGGAAGGTAGAGCTGTATCATCCCCACGACCGACTAATGGCGCATCCTCAGGTTACCACCTAGTTACCACCTAGTTACCACCTAGTTACCACCCAGTTACCACCTAGTTACCACATAGTTACCACCTAGTTACCACCTAGTTACCACGTACCCTTTGGGGAGGAAGGTAGAGAAGTATCATACCCACTACCGACTAATGGCGCATCCTCAGGTTACCACCTAGTTACCACCTAGTTACAACCTAGTTACCACCTAGTTACCACATAGTTACCAACGACCGACTAATGGCGCATCCTCAGGTCATCATCCTTTTGTGAATTCTGAAATGATTTTGATTTATTGGAGTAATAATCATATCTTGATTAGGTACTGAATACTGATTATGAAAAACAATATTCGACCAATTTTACAAAGACTTGATTGGAATTTTTAAACATTTATTCTGATTGCGGGAAATATTAATTCTTAACCTGCAGGGGCCCCGGTTGAAACTAGCAGCTATTCTGTGCAGACCTGGTGGGAGGAGGACACAGGGAGGGTTCGTACCGGAGGGGCAGAGTGACACTAGTTTAGTTACAGGGCCGGAAACCCTGCCTGGGAGGGGTCCTGATACCATGAATGTCGCTATCAATGATATCAGTGGCAATGAATTCCTGAATAGACGTTAACGTGTTTTTTTGCTTTACAAACTCCGTTATAGGCTGTTGCTTTTAAATTTGATGTAATTAGAACAGGGCTAAAAAAGTAATTTTAAAAGATGTGGTCCGATTCACGAGCTCTACAAACTGAACATGAAGGGTTGGATACTGCCGGATTTGTTGACTTCATAAAACTCTATGGCGGTCGATAGTATGTGTTAGCCGATCTGATCAAGTACCTCTGGGCTGCCGATACAGATTGGCTGGAATAATTATATTCTTAGTCTCTTTTCCTAACATTCTCAACATTTTATATCTCATTGGTTATAATTTTGTCCGATTGTTATTTTTTCTTGCTGATCTGAGTTGGGACTAGGATTTTTATCAGCCATATTTTTACAATTATATGATATAATAAATTGTTTCGTCTGTTTTTTGTTGTTATTGGGGTTCGGTTAGGGTTAGTCCCCCTTCGTTCTGAAGTAACGTTACCTCGGAAGGTTTTTGTACCACTTGATCAAAACCTGACCTGCTCGTGACATGTCAGGTGGAACTGTACCACGTGTTTACTACCAGAACATCATACCTTCCGAAGTAACGTTACTTCGGAAGGGTTCAGCAGCCATAATCGGAACCCTAGCTCTCTCTCTCTCTCTCTATTTGTGGTTCTCGAAACCTTCCGAAGTAACACAAAAACTGCCCGAGTAACACCCTAACTCATAAAATCTTGGTTTACCTCTAGTAGCACTTTGATCGTTTTGAACCGATTTAAAACCGTGTTCAGTGTTGATCGGCTGCAAAACCTTAAAATACCATACTGGACAATGTACTACACAAATTAACTGTAAATAATATATTACACTACACAGAGAGTCACCTGTAAGTTTGGGTTGAGTAGTAAAAGTGCAATAACCCCACTCTCCCACACTCTCACACTCTCCCACTGTATGACCCGTACTCGCACATTGGTCAAATTGTTACAAATCTATATCCTTACCGTTAACAAATATTTAGCTACCTTATCAGACTTTATTTGAACGGAAATTAATTGGATGCTGAAGGCCCTATAGCGTTCAAATAAAGTTCGTTCAAATAAAATTTCCGTCCAACTGTCAAAGTCCGTTGATTTTTTCCCAAAAGTATTCCACTACGAACTTAGTTGTCCAGGATATGACGACTTTTTAATTTTTTCGATTTCAATTTTTATCATCAACATTTTACTGTTTAACGACTACTTTTTTTTGCTTACTGTATTAAAAATCGATCGAAAATGTATCTTTAAATTGTTTAAAAACGCCCAAAAAGATATCAGATATTTTTTGAATGCCTCCGAGCGTTCATTTTAATGTCCGTCAAACATTATACGTTTACCTATAAGTATAATTTCCGGTAAAAAAAAACGTCCGATAAAGTTTTTTTAATCATTTGTGCCCAGTTGTAACGATAAGCATGTATCGACTATTAGTGGATCTCGACTATTAGAGGATCGTGATTATTAAAGGATCGTGACTATTTAAGGATCGTGAATATTTAAGGATCTCGACTATTTAAGGATCGCGACTATTAAAAATAGAGGATCATGATTCATGACTATTAGAGGATCGTGACTATTAGAGGATCGTGACTATTATAAAGGATTGTGACTATTCAAAAGTCATTGGGCATACGTTGGTCTTAGCTCCGCCGTGTTTTATATTTGAGAGCTGTTGCTTTGCAGATAGCATACTGTACCTTCTGGTTCGAAGATTTTGTGGTCAAAATTTGAAAATTCGAATATTTTAGACCACGCCCATTCATTATTAAAACACCTATATTGTTCTCTCTGAACATGCTGGACGTCTAATTTTTTCAGAGACGGTAGATTATTACTATTAGTAACATGTTGCATCTGATTAAAAAAATTACGTGAAACAGATTTGAAACGAATGAGTTATCAAGCATTTAGTTTATCTTGTTAGCAAAATTGATTCGGTGATTATGTCATTATGTGACACCTTGACACAACACTTTGGTTAACGGGGTGACCTTATCAGTTTATCACGTGATCAGGTAAGCCAATCACCTGATCATACGTAATGAATAAACTCGTTATGCTTCGTATCTCAGCCATCTGAGAAGCTACAACTCTAATTTTTTCAGGACAAACGTAATCCAAATGACCAAACACAATTCAATGAAATGTAGCTCGATCCGACTATCCAAATTATCAAATAAATGCAAAAATGAACCTTCATTTGAAAAAATGAACTAGAACTCGAATATTTTTCGATTTGACAAATTCCCCAAACCAGTGGTGGTAGTAAGTCATACCAAAAAGAATTATTTCAATTGGGCACTCAGTGACTGAGCTATTAAATTCAAGGCCAACGTATGCCCAATGACTTTTGGCCTACCCTGTATGCTGTATTTATCGTGCCTTGGACGAATGTTTCTTTGCAATATTCTAGTTCTTTTTGATCTTTTCACTTCCATTTTTTGTAATATGAGATAATATTTTTTATCAGCAGGGTCCTGTGATGCAAATTTCAACATTAATAAAATTCCATATTTCGGTCGGAAAAATAACTTAAATATTTCTTGTGCAATTTTTTCAACGTACATACTATAATAATAATTATATTATATACGGGGGGGGGGGGGGGGGCAGTGGCGTTACAAAGAGCCCCGCTGACCCGCTGTGCCTAGGGGGACGCAAAATCGCATCGTTTGAATGTGAGACAATTTTGAAAAACTTAACTGCCATGCAGTACTAGCAAAATAAGCAGATATTTTTGATATTTTGCCGGCGTATCCTCTAAATTCACCTAATTTTTCTAATTTTAGGGAGGATACCGCTATTTGTAAACACCTCCAGGATACCGCTATTTGTAAACACCTCCAGGATACCCCTATTTATATTATAATACGCGTTGCTCTGATAACGCTCTGATAACGCCACTCATTATATAAGCGCTGTCCTCTGATGTATCGCGGTCACAAAATTTTTTGTGATGCATGACTGCGGTACAGTCACAGAACACAGAATGACAAATTCTTATCAGTTGTTCACGCTCAAAGTAGGTATAGGTAACAAAATGACACGCAATATCTTGGGAAAGCTTGTGATAAGAAGATTAAATTAGAGAAGTTGATTCCTCGGGACAAGTTAAAAGATAATAGAGCTGCAGCTAGGGAGTTACTCAGGTGACAACTCAACTGATAGTATCAAATTACCTGCTTATCATGCCATACTACTCTTCCTTCTTTTTCAGAACAGTTTGTGCAAAAAGTGATAACTTATTATGTGAACGACCCCTAACATTTTTTGTTTTTAAGTAACACCCTGGCCTCATTTTCTGTTTTTAAACACCCTTTGTTTTTAACTAACACTCTGTTTTTAACTAACACTCTGTTTTTAACTAACACCCTTTGTTTTTAACTAACACTCTCTGTTTTTAACTAACACTTTCTGTTTTTAACTAACACCCTTTGTTTTTAACTAACAGTCTCTGTTTTAAACTAACACTTTCTGTTTTTAACTAACACTCTGTTTTTAACTAACACCCTTTGTTTTTAACTAAAACTTTCTGTTTTTAACTAACACTCTGGTTTTAACTAACACTTTGCTTTTAACTAACACTCTGTTTCTAACTAAAACTCTCTGTTTTAAACTAACACTCTCTGTTTTTAACTAACACTCTCTGTTTTTAACTAACACTCTCTGTTTTTAACTAACACTCTGTTTCTAACTAACACACTCTGTTTTTAACTAACACCCTTCGTTTTTAACTAACACTCTGGTTTTAACTAACACTCTCTGTGTTTAACTAACACTCTGTTTCTAACTAACACACTCTGTTTTTAACTAACACCCTTCGTTTTTAACTAACACTCTGGTTTTAACTAACACCCTTTGTTTTTAACTAACACTCTGGTTTTAACTAACACTCTGCTTTTAACTAACACTCTGTTTCTAACTAAAACTCTCTGTTTTAAACTAACACTCTCTGTTTTTAACTAACACTCTCTGTTTTTAACTAACACTCTGTTTCTAACTAACACACTCTGTTTTTAACTAACACCCTTTGTTTTTAAATAACACTCTGGTTTTAACTAACCCCCAAATCCTTGTGTAGTTTTGGAAATTGAAGAGGGAGTACAAATTGTTTTAACAAACACCCTTTTCTCCTAGCGTAGCCTGAAATGTTTAAAGAGGAGTACAAAATTGGGTTTTAAAATAACACCCTTTCCCCTTAGGGAAGTGGAAATTTGAAAAGTGAGTACAAATTTTTTTTAAAACTAACACCCCCCTATCCCCTTAGTGTAGCTGGTAATGTTTAGAGGATACAAATTTGGGTTTTAAAAACCCCCCCTTTATCTCTTGTGTAGCTGGTAATGATGAGAGGAGTACTAATTGGAGCACTCTTAGTGCTGGGAGTCAGCTCAGTAGCTGTGCAGATCATAGACCCAGCTAAGTGTACGCTTTGTAAAGCAGCTGTGTCCGAACTCAAGGTTATAATGGAAGACAAAGACACTAAAGATCTGCTGGGCGTGCTGAAGAAGTTTGTGTGCGCCAATGTGCCCATACAGGACTGCGATAACTGGGTAGATAGTGAGTTGTCCCAATTGGAGAGTGTGGTTGAAGCTTTGGATCCTGGCGCTGCCTGCTCTCAACTTGCTGTGTGCGCTACTACCATGGCCCCTCTTCAAGACTCCATACAGTGCGAGTTCTGTGAGTTCCTGGGGGATGAGGTGGTGAAGAGAGTGCTGACTAGCGCTACAATAGACGAGGTAGTGGCTGCTGCTGAGAAGGTATGTAGTGAGCTCCCCTTCGTTTCTAATGAGTGTAGTGCCCTGGTCAAGGAGTACGGACACTTTTATCTCGACCTGCTTGTAGGCTCGATTGATGTGCAGCAACTCTGCTCAAAGATAGGACTCTGCTCTCGACAAGTTAGGGACCTCATAGAAAGTACAGAGTTATTCGAGGTAATAAAGAAGGGTCTCCAGGACGACTCACCCCTCTGTGCTGGCTGTCAGGACCTGCTAGGTGAAGTGAAGAAAGCCGCTAATGACCCTGACACGATCGCTATTAACAAAGACCTAGCTCCCGTTATCTGTGAGGTGATTTCTATTCCTTTCTGTAACTCACTCATGACCAAGCTCCTCGAGGGGACCCTGGTAAAGGCACAGAACCTAGACGTAGAGGGGACATGTGTGGCTCTGGATGCTTGTTCGGGATCAGTAGTAGGAATGGGGGATGTGTGCTCAGACTGTGCTCAGATAGCTGACCTTGTTATAAAGGAGCTACAGGACCCGGCTGTGCAGCAGCAGATAGAAGCAGTGCTGGACGAGGCGTGTTCTATCCTGCCCATACCGGACTGCAAGGAGACTCTACACAGCTACATGGTCATCATAGAAACACTCATCTCAGGGATGGACGGTAAAACAGTATGTGGCTACGCTGGCCTGTGCAGCTCCAAACATGAGACAGTGAGCAGCTACGAAGTGAGCAGCAGTGTAGGAGACACGTGCTCAGAGTGTACCATGATAGCAGGGGAGCTGATAACCCTTCTAGAGAACCAGCAGGTAGACGCTATCTTGAAAGGGGTCATCTCCGAGATTTGCACCGTTCTTCCCATCTCCAACTGTGAGACCACTCTAGACGGCTATTTCGACGAGCTCGTCGCTCTTCTCAAGAATCTGGACGGGAAAACTCTTTGCAGTCTCATTGGACTCTGCTAGAACTCGCTGCAGTCTCATTGGACTCTGCTGGAACTCTCTGCAGTCTCATTGGACTCTGCTAGAACTCTCTGCAGTCTCATTGGACTCTGCTAGAACTCGCTGCAGTCTCATTGGACTCTGCTAGAACTCGCTGCAGTCTCATTGGACTCGGCTAGAACTCTCTCTGCAGTCTCGTTGGACCTCTGCTAGAACTCTCTGCAGTCTCATTGGACTCTGCTAGAACTCTCTGCAGTCTCGTTGGACTCTGCTAGACCGCTCTGCAGTCTCATTGGACTCTGCTAGAACTGCTCTCTGCAGTCTCATTGGACTCTGCTAGAACTCGCTGCAGTCTCATTGGACTCTGCTAGAACTCTCTGCAGTCTCATTGGACTCTGCTAGAACTCGCTGCAGTTTCATTGGACTCTGCTAGAACTCGCTGCAGTCTCATTGGACTCTGCTAGAACACTCCTAGCAGTCCATTGGCTCTGCTAGAACTCGCTGCAGTCTCATTGGACTCTGGCTAGAATCTCTGCAGTCTCATTGGACTCTGCTAGAACACGCTGCAAGTCTCATTGGACTCTTGCTAGAACTCTCTGCAGTCTCTTGGGAACCTCTGCTAGAACTCGCTGCAGTTTTCATTGGACTCTGCCTAGAACTCGCTGCAGGTCTCATTGGACTCTGCTAGAACTCTCTGCATTCTCACTTGGACCTCTGCTAGAACTCGCTGCAGTCTCATGGACTCTGCTAGAAATCTCTGCAGGTCTCATTGGACTCTGCTAGAACTCGCTGCAGTCTCATTGGACTCTGCTAGAACTCTCTGCAGTCTCATGGACTCTGCTAGAAACTCGCTGCAGTTTCATTGGACTCTGCTAGAACTCGCTGCAGTCTCATTGGACTCTGCTAGAACTCTCTGCAGTCTCATTGGACTCTGCTAGAACTCTCTGCAGTCTCATTAGACTTTGTGAGAAATATTCCTTATGATTTTTACAAAAAAATTTTGGTTTTCCCAAAAAAGTTTAAGTTTTTTAACGAATTGAGCCCCCCTTTTTAAGATTAAAAAATGTTTAAATACCCCTGCCAACTAGGTATAATAAAATGATTAAAATGATTTTTTCCATAAATTTTAAAACAAATCAAAGGTTTTGTTTTTTAGAAACACGACGTAATTTTTCAGCTTTGAAAATTTTTTTTTTGTTTGTGTTGGTGAAACTTTAAAATCTTCCAAAATTTTTTATTTGTTACTTTTTTCCCCAATTTTTCAATCCCAGTTTTTTGGACTGTATCGTGAAAAAAAAAATCCCCTTCCCTTAAAAATTTGGAGAACAAAAACATAAAAAACCCCAGGCGTTGGCCACATGCAACAAGAAAACATTTTTAAAATTGAAATTTTAAAGGGCCCCTTTTTAAAACCCCACCCCCCCCCTTTTGGCCTTAATTTTTAAAAGTTTCCTTAATTTAGAGCAAATTTAAAATTAAAGAAAATTGAATAATTTTTTTTTAAGATATTTTGTAGGATATATGCTTTTGGGGTCGGGGTTTTTTTCTTTTTAAAGGTGAGCAGTCCCCTTTGATTTCCCCCCCTCTGAGCAGCCCCACTCTGAAGAAAAACCCCCCATCCCCCTGAGAAAAGGTCCCTCTCTATCTCTGAGAAGTCCCCTTTTGAGCTTTCCCCCTTTTTGAGCTTTCCCTCTCTGAGAGTCCCTCTTTGAGCTTTCCCTCTTTTGAGCAGCCCCAAATTTTTTGAGAAGTCCCTCTTAGCCCCTCGGGGCCCAAGCCCCTTTTGGGGCGTTCCCTTTGACCCATTTTTTCCTCTCGGGGAAAGGTCCCCCCTTTGGGGTTTTCCCCTTCTGAGAAGTCCCTTTCCCCTGAGCGCCCCCTTCTGAGCGTCCCTCTTTGAGAAACCCCCTTTCTCTGAGCATTTCCCCTCTCTGCCCAATTCCTCTTGAGCGTTCCCTCTCTAAAGCGGGCCCCCCGGGCCCTTTCCCCTGAGCGCCCCAATTTTCGGGAGTAGTCCCTCCGATCTGAGCGGGCCCTTTTTTTGAGCATTTCCCTTTTGGGGGGTTCCCTTTTGGGGGTTAGCCCTTTTCCCCTTGAAACACGTCGCCCCCCCAAATTGTCGTTTCACTAAAATGAAAAGGGGTTCGCCTGTAGTTTTTTTTACGATACAGGGGGGCCACACCGGCGCAGGGGTCACAAAATTTCGTATGACAACTCTCAGGGATGGGGCCCCAAATGAGAAATTACCAGTATTTCTCTAAAACAACAAGAAAGAAACCGTCCCATTCTCTGAACTTACAACCATTGTCCCAGTACTTTCTCTGAACTAAAAAGTATTGTACCGGGAAAATTTTCCCCCGAATTTACAAGGACCTATCTCTGTGGTAGTTGCTGGTAAAGTGTGGACCTGGGGGCCCTATATTCGAAGCTTTTGGGACTCCCTGGAGGAGTGCGGGAACCTTTAAGCAAAAACTTGCGGGCCTATAAAATTTAATAGACTATCACTAAATGTTTCCACCCACTCCAAGGTAAACCCCCGCATGTGCATATGGTAAAGGAGCAAATCGGGTTTTACCCAGCTCCTCAAGGCCCCGGGAAAGGGTTTGGTCAAAAACGTTTTTTATAAAACCCGGCCGCGCCCCGGACGTTGCGCGGCCCCCCCTGTATGCAAACCCTTCCCAGTCGAAACTAGCTACTTATAGGGGAAGCGCCAGTGGGGGTCCCCACATGAAAAAGGAGAAGGGTAGTGGAGGGGGTTCTAAAAGGGTTTGGGGGAAATTTACTGAGGGGGGGCCCCGGGGTTTTGTAACAAAGTTTTTCTTTGTATACGCGAGGGCGTTCCCTCTTCCCATTTGGGCCCGGGGCTTTTAAATTTATTTTTATGTTTTTTGCCTTCACGCTAAAATCGGCGAATCCCGCTACTGGACCTTCCCGCACCGAGCTGCGATGAATTGCCCTTTCGTCCATATTTTTTTTAAGTTTTTATTTTTAGTTTATTTGGGGTTTTTAAAAAATATTTAAAAAGCTTTTAAAGGGGAAAAAAGGGAACGTTTTTTCCCTGCTAGGGTTTTTGAGACCAAACCGCAAATTAAACAAAAATTTTTATTTTCCTAAGGATCGATAATATTTAAAGAAGTTAAATTTTTCCCTTTTTTAGTAAAGTGCTATCCCAAAATGCACTTTTTTAAACTTTGATTCTTTTAACTCTAAAGGCAAAAAAAGAAATTTTAAAAATTCATATTTGTAGCCAATAAGTTTCCCAAAAATTTTTCTTTTGTTTGGGGGAAAATATGAGTTTGAACCCGGGACATAAATCCCCGCGATTTTAGCTTTTTGAATTTATGATGAACGCGGGGGGTCCCCAATTGATAAAAACTAAAATGCTTTTGGGGGCGTATCCCGCGTCGAAAATTTAAAAAAAACGCTTGGGGAGGGACAAATATTAAAAACTTCGTTTAAAAGTTATGAAGTGGGGTACTTTTTGGGAAAAAGGAAAAAAAAATTTTGGGGACAAACAAGTTTGTGACTATTTTTGGGTTGATTTAATACAACTGCAAAAACTTAATTCAAATTTCAAGAAAAAAAAGTAAAAATTTTTACCCTTTTTTGGATTTTTACCTGCGTTTTAAAATGAGGGATTTTTTTTAAAAATTTTTATCCCATCTTGTGGGGGCTGTTTTTTTAGCTACTTTTTGCAATTTTTCCCGGAAAATCCAAAATATTAACTTCCCCAAAATTTTATAAAAAAACAGGGTTTTTGGGGGCCCTATTTTTGTAAAAGGGTCCAAAAATCTTAAAAACCACTTTTTAATGTTTCTACGGTCAAAAATACGTCTGGGTAAATGTATCTGGGTCCCTAGCGTATCAAACCCAGAAAAAGGCCCTTTAGACCCTTTAAATATTAGGCAATGTCCTTGCTAAAAAATAAAACCCCGATAATCCCTTTAAACCCTGTATGGCATGTGTTCACCAAAACCATGTGCTTTACCCGCCACTGCGGGGGTTTTGTTAAAGTCAAAAAAACCGGGCCGTGAGGCGGGCCCCGCCCCCCACGCAAGGGGAAAAAGGGCTCTGGATAGAAAAAACTTTGTGTATGGGGTTGGGCTATCCCCCGTTCAAAAGTTTTTAAAAAAAGATTTTTAGGCCCCTGAATTAGGCGACGTTGGGGTTTTTTGAATTCCGTACAAAAAATCTTTGGCTCGCAGGGGGGGCGCATTTCCTACGTAGGGAAACTTAAAAAGAGGGGCCCCCCTAACAGGGATTGGCGTGCCGGTGCCGGGTAATAAAATTAAAAGGGCAGCAGGCAGTTTTATAAAATTTTGTAAGTGAAACCGGAAACTTACGGGGAACGGGAAATATTTCCCTGGGCCCCCCAGGACCCCAAACCGGTTTTGGGGGGGGCTTAATTTTGAAAGTAAAAGATTTTGGAGATTTTCCGGTTTTTTTGTAAATGTTCTTTTTAAAAAGTAAACTTTACCTCTCCAGGGGGAAAATTCAAGAAAAACGTAATTGGATCTTATTAAATTCAAAATCTCCAAAAAAAAGCCCCTTTCGGGCCGATAAAAAAGTTTGAAAATTTAACTTTGCGGATACCTGTACTTGGGATTGGCCGGAATTGGGGGTTCCCGTGGAAAGCCGCCTAAACATTGGAATCCCCAAAGCGTGAAAATCTGTTTTGTTGTCGCGCGCGAGGCCCAAGGGACTCAACCGTCTTTAAATTAAAACCAACTCAAGTACCCCCACCCCGGGTAACTTTTCCTGGGCCGCGCTCCCCCTTGTCATTCCCCCCAAATCTCTTTTAAATTGTTTATCAACTTTAAAAACCCGGGGGGTCCCCCAGTTTAAAGAAATATAATCGAAATATGAAAAAAGAAAAATTGCTAAAAGGAATATAAAATTTTGAAAAAGAAAAGAAAAAGATAAACCCCGTTTCTAATTCATTCTTTCTTTCCACTTTCCTAATTTTGACTTTGGGAAAAAGGGTTTTTTGACCCTTTTAAAAGGTGGGGCAAAAATATAATCCCAATGGTTTTGTTGAAGAAATCATTCTGACAAAACTACAGTTGTGATGGAATTTCTTGCCGTACAAACAATACATCAATACAAACAACCATCATAAACTGTTTTGTACTGATCCAATACGTATAATACTTCATACTTAAAGAATATTATATAATTTTTCCCGAACATCATACATGAACATCTCTTAAACGTAAAAACTTAAGTCAAACTTAAGCCAAACAAAAGCCCTACGTTAAATTTGTAAGATTATTTCAGTGATCAAATTAGTCACGCCTACGTTTCAAATATTTTTCGCTCCTGTCTAAGCTTAAAAGGGAAAATTAAATACAATCTCGGCAGCATCTGAGCGAATCTGTAATACAACACTTTCTCTTGAGAAAAAGGGCATGATTACCTTTATTTGGTATCACGACTCCATATAGGAGCGAACATGTCTATATAAGGAGCGAACATGTCTATATAAGGAGCGAACATGTCTATATAAGGAGCGAACATGTCCATATAAGGAGCGAACATGTCTATAACTATAATATAAGGAGCGAATCTGGTATACAGCATCTCTTCAAATCAAGTGTGCTGGTAGGAGTAAATTTTTCCAGTAATCTTCAGTGCCAGATTCGCTTTGTAGCTGCTATTTAACCGTTTTGCAGCCACTTTTTAGCCACTTTGGTGCCGCTTCGATAGTGCCAGATCAGGTTCAAATCAACACTGAACCTCTTTAGTTTTACCTGGGAAAAACAAAAATGAGAAGTTTGCATTTCGTACTTTATAATATTTACTCAATTCACTATTATCTACTCAATTCACTAAAATAAATCCTTGTGTTTATACTCAATTCACTAAAATAAATCCTTGTGTTTATACTCAATTCACTAAAATAAATCCTTGTGTTTATACTCAATTCACTAAAATAAATCCTTGTGTTTATACTCAATTCACTAAAATAAATCCTTGTGTTTATACTCAATTCACTAAAATAAATCCTTGTGTTTATAATAATCAATTCAATAAAATAAATCCTTGGGGTTTATACTCAATTCACTAAATAAACCCTTTGAGTTTTAAAAACCAAATTCACAAAAATTTAAACCCTTGTTTTTATCCCCAAAATTCACTAAAATAAACCCTTGTTTTTTTAATAATTTAAAAATTCACTAAAATAAAACCCTTGTGTTTAACGTCAATTAAAAAAAAAATTAAAATTCCTTGTTTTTTAAACTTTACAATTTTTCAGCCCCCCTATCCAGTAAACCCCTCGATTCGTCCGCAAGTATTTTCCCGGGGGACCATTAGCGTTATGTTTATCAAAGGGGGGTTGGGGCTGGTGAACAAAGGGTTTTAAAATGGGTCAAAACCGGAAATTCCCTTTTATAACAATGTGTAGGAACAGGTTTTATGCCCATAAATGGAACGAAAACTTTTTTTATGGGGGCTCAATTTTGGGAAATGAAAAAGGGATTAAAAATTAAAATAGAAACGTGGGGAGGGCCCATAAATTGTGCCGGCATGTGACCGTGAAAAACCAAAAAGTTTCCAGAATTTCTTTTCACGGGTTAAAAAAACTTAAAAAACGGCGTACCCCTTAACGGGGCTTACACCCTTAAATAACCGGGCTTACAGAGAGAAAGTTAACTAAACCATTTTGCAAGCTAATGACAAAAAAAAAGGGCCGGAAACAATCGGAAAAGGGGGGCCTTTCCCATTTTTCACACATTTTTTTAAAAACCGCCATTTAATTACCTTCGGAATTATAGTGGGTTTCACGGTCCGGTTCGAGGTTTTGGTCTTTTAAAAACGGTTGAAATCGAACTGAACCTAAAAACCCAAAAGGGGCTTAGTTTAAAATTGCTTCCCCATTTTACCGATAACTTTTAAAGCTAAAAATAAAATTTTTTTACTATACCATTACCACTTTACCGCCACGAAAATTTGGGCCCCCCCAAAATGTTTTTCCATTTAACGTAATTACATTCCAAAATTAGGAATTTTAATGAGGTTTAAAATTGGGAAAACAAAGTTTTTACTGTAATTTTTATTGAAAATTTAGACCCTTTTACGTGATTTTTTTCACTTTTGAGTTTTTAAAATCCCCTCCGAAACCCCATATTCAACAGTGAATGAAATTTTGACGGGGGTTTTTTTTTATTGATTCGATACCCCCTTAAATTTTTAAAAAGCCCTTTTTAAAATAAAAATTTAAGTTAAACCTCGGTGAATATTGAAAAAAAAGAAGAAGCTCCCCCTTCACTATTGACATTGAAGTACATTATAAAAGCCCAAAATAAACCCCCTAAATAGTGAAAAAAAATTTACCTCCAATTTTTTACCACGATGGGCCCACAATTACATTAAAACATTTTTAATCAAACCATTGACAAAGATTTTTGTTTTTGGGGTTCAACAACTAGTGCCCCCTACTAACTTACTAAAAAAATAGAGCTTCTTAAAAGCTTAAAAAAGAAAAACGATGTTATTTTTTTACCCCAACCCCCTAAAGGTTTCTCACACAATTGATTTAGATTAAATTAATTATTTATTATTAACTCCTTAAAAGGTGTAACCATGATAACCGTAGCCCTTATACGCGTGCTGTTACGCCAGTACAGAAAGCGTGAGGCTGGATATGCCCATATATGGTTACACTAAAGGTCGTACATAGTTACATGATAACAGGATATGCCCATATATGGCAACATGATAATATGCCCATATTTGGCAACATGATATGCCCATATATGGCAACATGATATGCCCATATATGAAGCGTTGAGCGGTTAACTTACCACCGGAGTATCTCGTCTCATCTGGTGTCTCTGTGAGAATTCAGTTAATTTTCAATCATAGAAAGTAAATCGAAAAACTTAAATTCTTAAATCGGGCGACAATTAAATTCTTGGAGCCCAACCATTTACAATTTTATTTAAAGCATATTAATTTCAGCATCTACTAAGACATCTAAGACATCTACTAAGACATCTACGCTTCAGTAAATGTTTTTTATTTTTTACACATGCCACTGATCTCGCTTATAGTTGGAATTCAGCGTTTGAAACAAAAAATAAGCTTTCATCATATTTTGTAAAATCTATAACATTGAGCGTTATATATCAAATTATATAAAAATATCTTTAATTAATCAAATAATGTCAAAAATAATGATATCATATAATTAATTATATTATCATATAACTAATTATTGTTACAGAGGAAAACAATGCGAAATAAAGGAATACGCGTCCACATATTATTAGCAAGTCATGGTTATAATATGTAGCATCTAGAGCCTAAAGAAAAAACGTCACATTTAAGAAAAACAACATTTCGTAAAGGGAAAACGTCAAAAGCGTCCACGCGTCATAATCAATGTACCAGGGATATGCCCATGTACGGTCACATTATAGTTCTCATAAGGAGCGAATTTGTCTATCCTTATATTTTTGTACATTTTTTACAATATATAAAAATTGTAGAAAACACTTGCTCAAGAGTGCTCAAATCCTGTATTTAAATATCAATTAATTAACTGTTAAATGACCGGTTAATGGCTGTTAAATGACCGGTCCTCAAAAATAACCATGCAACTTCACACGTATCTCACTCTACAATCACTTATCACTAATCTCCACACTATACTAATTAGCATCATAATAACTGTCATTGTAATTCACCAAATTAATTAATTAAAATTAATTAACCAAATAATTAAAACAAGAAACTTGGCTTCTCTGTGTGCCAAGCCAGGCATTTCAAATATTCATAACATCAACTGAGAGATTAATATAACAACTTTAAACATTATTATATTAATTAACGTACGTGACGTATAATTAACATAACAATAGTTAGTTAACTAATTAAAGTTAACTAATTAGTTAATATATATATATGTATATATCATGGTGTGTAGTGCAAGTGTAACGATTGCTGGGTTGTTGTTCTTGTTCTTGTCAGGGATGTATCTCAAACAAACCATCTCCTATTTGTTATGCCTATATAAGGAGATGCCTACATAAGGTGACGTCGTAAGCCCTTATATGGTATTACTTTTTACTTACGTTACGTCCGGTGCCCGCTTTGGGAGGAGCTGCCGCAGCCTTCACTGGTTTTTTAGTCGCATCAGTTTTAGAACCAGTTCTGAAGAGGGAAGGTGGTTAGTTTCGGGGATTGGTTATGTGGGTTATTACTTTATAATAATGCGGGATTATGCGATAGAATAACGAGGCGGTGCGTACGAGGGTTGTCTGTTGTGTGGGTGCGGAAATTATGCTTGTGGTATGAAAGCTATGCGTGAGGTATGATAGCTGGAACGAATGTTATTTTGAACGAAGAATATTTTGAATTTTCAAGGTCTATGAATAAACCGTTACACGATTCAACATTTCGAATTAAAGTTGGGTTTGGTTGTATTACTATTTGGGTTGCTGCTCAGAGGAAGACTTGTTTTACTTAAAGTCTGTGTATTGTCTAATTTAGAATATAAACTTGTTAAGTACTTAAGCGCAATTTCAGGTCTTGTTTATGTTAGCTGTTATCATATTTCCTTGTGTTCGACAGATTCTTATAGTACTTATTCTTAGTAGTAATGATACTTTCTCGCGTTTACAAAAGTTTAAACGACAATATCTCCTTGTGTTTACCAATGCCTAACAATAATATTTCCTTGTGTTTGAACTTACTCAGAGCCATTCTGTTCTGTTGGTTGTGGCTTGACAACAGGGGGTTGTTCCGTAGCCACTTCACTCATTATTCCTACCAGCCAACATAGTTTAGAAAATAAGTAATACAAAATAAATAGCAGCGAATAAGTTAATAAGTAGAACACGAAAAGAATCCGACCGGAAACAGAAAACGATTATTAAAGAAATTACAGAAGGGAAACAATATGAATAATATCTGAAAACAGCCCAAGAACTATAACTAAAACTAGGCTTTGCCAAAATAACATAATCTACAACAGCAAGATGGACGGAATTTGAAATCGGAATTGGAACTTATCCAAAAGAGAGAGAGAGAGAGACGATAAGCAGAAAGTCTTAACAACATTTTGAATGAGGGGCCAATAAATCTAATTGCTTAAGAGGGCCTGATCCGTATCTTTACAAGTAACAGACCCCTCTAATGCATTCTTCAAACAAGTTTCACGTTTCTTGTCTGATCACTTTCCATGTTGTTTATAGGAACATGAAATCAGAAACATTCCATAATTTGGTGGGAATGTAAGGAAATTAGCTTAAAAACTAATTCAACTTGAACAGGGAATAGCAACCTAGCAATATACCTAGCAAAGTAGAACAATTCTTAAGAGAAGGTCAAATTATTTGCAGTAAAAATACTTAAATGAACTTAAAACGTTGACGAAGAGACCCACTTCCCTCAGCAACAAGATATAGAGAGCTATCTAATCGCGCCAAAACAAAATACACTTAAAGTGTTTTGATTATATAACGCGGTCACTTAATTAAACAATTAAATATAATGAGATGACGCACGTCCAAAGCTCTAATTGGCACGAATGTCTCAAATTTAAGTTAATTTTGAGTACATGTGACGTCAGATTACGCCCTATAAAATATATATAAGCACACTATATATTGTATCTTTTTATTATATTATTATATATATATATATAAAATACGATGTTTCTTTTGGAGAAATCCAGTTTCAAGAGTGCTCTACCCCGGGAGGGGAGCATTGTACAATGAAAACAACGATTCTACAAACTCAGAGTTTCATGCAAATAGCAATCATCAGTGTATCAGAAATAACTTACTAAATTAATAAATCCATGTTTTCCTTACAAGCTCCTTCATAAAATTAACTTAACTAAACTAAATCAAAAACAAACGAAAGGAAACGAAATTGAAACGAAAATGAAATACAAGAACAAAAACTAAAATTAAAATAAAATATTCCTAAAAGCATTCTTCAGCATAAACTTGTTGGTGTGCCTACATTTACTTATGAGTTCCCTCCTCCTATTTAATAGATTGCCATCTTTATTTAAAATAATATAAAGTTTTTCAGTAAGGCAGAGATGACAATCTTAGAAAGAGCACAAATATATTGGGCTTACTGAAAACACTTTTAAGACCCGTTTCAGTTCACACACAAGCTCTTTCAAACTCGAGAAGCTACGAAATCAGACGGAGCTATCTAAGAAAATATGGGAGTTGAAAGATAACAAACACCATATAAAATATCTTGGAAAATAATCAAACATGCCCATCCGTACAAAGGGGGGTACGAAAGATTGTCATCTCTGCCTTACTGAAAAACTTTATATTATTTTAAATAAAGATGGCAATCTATTAAATAGGAGGAGGGAACTCATAAGTAAATGTAGGGCCACACCAACAAGTTTATGCTGAAGAAATGCTTTTAGGAATATTTTATTTTAATTTTAGTTTTAGTTCTTGTATTTCATTTTCGTTTCAATTTCGTTTCGTTTCGTTTGTTTTTGATTTAGTTTTAGTTAAGTTAATTTTATGACAGGAGCTTGTAAGGGAAAACATGGATTTATTAATTTAGTAAGTTATTCTGATACACTGATGATTGCATTTGCATGAAACTCTGAGTTTGTAGAATCGTTGTTTTCATTGTATATATAAAATACCGCATTTCAGTCTGATATTACATTACGTTGTAGAGCAGCTCACAGCTCATTGGAAATAAAATGGGAAAAGGGCCAAATAAGGTTTAATTTTAATAACTTTTTTATACTCTTTTTTAAAAAGTAGCTGGTTTTTCTGGTAGCCCAAATTTTTTCCCCGTGTCATTTAAAGATGGGCCGGTGAGAGGGGGGGATTAACTGGACGTTAAACTGGCGTTATAATTTCTAACTTATATAGTACTTAAAAATTCCCCGGGTTTCCCCCTTGGGAGACCCCTTTCAGAACCGGGAAAATTTGAGAAGTTAAACAAAAGGGGGGTTTGAAGGCCCGCCGAACCAAAACCAAAAAAAAAAAAAAAAAAAAAATACTAGGTAAGCAAATACCCAGGTAGCAAATACAAAGGGTACAAATACTAGGCCCACAAATCCCCAGGCTGCAAATACTAAAAAGGGAAGCAAATACTAGGGGTAAACAAATACTAGGGGGAGCAAATACTAAAAGGGTTGCAAATACTAGGCTTTGCAAATAAATAGGCTCCCCCAAAAATAGGTTCCAAAAAACTAAGGGTAGCAATACTAGGCTAGCAAATACTAGGCTAGCAAATAGGTAACTAGGCCAATAAAATTCCTAAACTTTGAACTTTGCACTTAGAGTATGAACACATAATTGGAAACGACATGATTTATTGATTCGATTGATCGGGACCAAACCCAGAACAATTAAAAAATAACTGATCGAGTTAGGGGTTTGCTGGTCGGTATTTAGTATTTACATAATTGTGTAGACATTAAACAACAAATATTAGTTATCTATAATCCATAATAGCTCCTATTACATATTAGTTGGCCGTTGAGCACTTGAATGTTGAAAGCACGTTTATAATATAATATATCATATACCTGAGACTGAACTAAAACAACTATAACCCCAGTAAAATGAAGAGGGGGGGGGGGGGAGTGCAGGGTAATTGCCCCTACAAAACCAGAGAGACTTGTCTCTTTAAAAACACGTTTTTCACAGCACGAATAACTGCAGTGAAGTTAACTGAAAAGCTATTGCCGCACAGCAGTAACCGTGATGTGGCATCTGGCACGTTGTGCATGGCAACTACCTACGTAGTGCACGACTGAAAAAAACGTATTAATTAATAATACGAAAGTAGATCAAAAGAGCCGCTTAAAATATACCGATTATCCTGGAGTGACCGGGTCACAGTCACCACAGTAACCACAGTAACCATAGTAACCACAGTAACCACAGTAACCCCGACCTAGTTACACACCCTCTAGTTTACAAACACAAACAGTGACCTAGACCCTATCAATGTGTGGATGAGACGTATATCTGATAAGAGAAATGTCACTAACTGACAGTAACCATAGTAACATATCTGTCACTGACTCACCACTGAAGACAGGCTATAATAGTGGTCTGCCAGTCAGACTCTCTTTTTAACTGAGACTCTTAATATGATTGATATCATCACAGTGGCATCTTCTCACCCAATACTGCACTCTGATTGGCTCCCAACATCACATACTGGTCCCTGATTGGTTTCCATGTCAGGATCACGAGGTGTGTTCTGGTTGGCTGGTCCGGGGGTGGTCTAGAAGAGTATACTCTAACTGGTTCAAACTTAGCTTTTTGGCGCTTAGTGAAATAAACTGGAGGGAGTGTGGTAATTGAAATGCGGCTGAGATAGAACACAGACAATATAAAACTCCTGCACGTGACGTCACCAAAACACCACGTGACGTCACCAAATTGATGAGGAGTGAAAAGATTAAAGCTGTTTCAGGACTAATGCTCCTTATAAAGTCATAATACTGTGTGTCTTTTTTGGATAACAAGAGGGATTAACAAAACGTTGTGTAATGATTGTTAACCTGTAACTCAGTAGAATAATCATTAATAGATTAATCATGTTTACTACTTTAAGTAATTATCGGTTATTACAGTTATTATCAGTAATCACAGAGCATCCAAACTCTTATCAACCCAATGAAATTTAACTTTGTATTCTTAAAATCGTCTTTCTAAAAGACGTTTCAACGAATCTTATAATCAGCCTAAAATACACATATAATTTGGATATGTGTATATATGTTTGCGAAATATCGCGTTCAGCTAATTGACAGAGTATTTTATGGATCAAGAGAATGAAATGGGCAAGGTTTTACTGTATAATAATATGATGAATCAGAATGAAACAACGAATAAGTCTCTCAACAACAACAACAACATCTGTCAGAAAGTTGGGGTTCACGTCGTGTGACGTCACAAAACACCACGTGACGTCACAAAATGTTGTTTGGCTACGTTATACGTTATAAGGTTATGTTGCCTGGGAAATTAAACCCAAAAAGGTAGGTATCGGGGTATTTTTGTCAGTGTTGGGGTCCAAATGCAAAGCTGCAGCTAATTTATTTAAATGGGCGGGAAATTGGGAAGAAACAGATTTAAATTTTGAAAAGGAGCACAAATTTAAAAATGAAAACTGTCTGGGGCAAAGGGGAGGGAAAA